ACATCATTCCATTTTCATTCCCAAGATATGGCAGTGAAAAGTTTTTAAAATTAGCAGGAGGTTCATTGGTAGGATTAAAAGCAAGTTGGGACCTTTTCTTGAGTTTGACTTTATTGATAACCACATTAATAATGGAGGGATTGTAATTATTATTAAACGCTAATTATTTTAAAACGTTGATTTCTTTATTAAAATTATGATTAGTTAAAGGTATATTAAGAAGACGATGAACATAACAGTAGGATAGCTGATAACTTGTGTTTATAAGAGTGATTAGAGTGGAAATTATTTAGATAGTCAATTTGAGTTTGGTTTCCTGTAGATATCAAATTCAAGTTTATTATCCAGACCACTGATAAAAAGGTCTAGGAAACTAAGTAATTTATTGACTTTAAGCTCAACTGTGAATTTGATTTTAGGATGGATCTTGTTAACGAAAAATAATAAGTCATCAATCTCAGTAAAATTACAATTCATAATTGCAAAAATGTCATCAACGTATCTGTACCAGTGTGATATTCGGTCATTAGGAAAATCATTCAATTTTTTTTTGTTTCTAAGTGATCTAGAAATAAGTCTGCTAACAAAGGACTTAGAGGATTACCCATTGCTAAGCCATTGGGTTGTCTGTAGAATGTTTTATTAAAAATAAAGAAATCTTGGTCAAGACAGATTTTTAGTAAATCCAAGATAATATTGATAGAATGAAGGTTGAAGTTATTTTTAGTAAGAAGGTCCTTGATAATAGGAAAGGTTTTCTCTCTGGGAACGTTGGTGAATAAATTGCTAACATCAAAAGAAACTAACTTAGCTTTAGAACTTAGATTTATGTTTTTAATTTTGTTAACTAAATCAATTGAATTTAAAACAATATATTTAAGTATATAATTAAGAGAAGAGTTAAAGAAGTTATTGAAAAATTTAGCAAAGGAAGATACAGGAAAATTGAAGAAAGTGACTACAAGTCTCATTGGGATCTCTATTTTATGTATTTTAGGCAGGCCATACAAACGAGGCAAATAAGAATTTTTATATTTGGTTAGAGTAGATTTAAACAAGTTTATGAACTTCTGTAGAGGGTTAGAGTTCAAGGTTATAAAATCATTATTGTTGAAAAATTCTTCCACTTTAAGTATGTAGTTCTCTTTGTTCATGATAACTAAGCAGTTTACTTTGTCAGCCTTAGAGATAATGAGATTATTGGTAATTAATTTGTCTTTAATGGATTTTAATAAATTAACATATTGTTTAATAAGTGTTTTATGGGGTTCAATAGTGTTAAGGGATAAATATTCATAGAAAATGGAGATGCAGTTTGATTTCAAAAGATTAGTTAGATCAATGTCATTAGAAAAGTGGTTAATAATAAAATCTACATCAATAGACAGTTCTTCAATATTTTTTTTTTGTGAATCTTAGGTTTAACTGCAAATTTTAAACCTAAGGAGAGAAACTCAATTTAATTATCGTTAAAACTAATGTTTGACAAGTTTTTAGTTTTGTCATGAAAATTAATGGAGGATAATTTATGTTGAAAGTTAGAACATTGATTGTATTTTTTGTCTTAAGTTGTTAAGTTTGAGCTTTAATCTGTTGAATTTATTATGTTTAAAAAACCGACATCATCCTGAATGTCGTTAAGATTAACTTGCAACAGTTGATATAAAGTTGCCTGAACCAGTTGATTATAAACTTTTGAGATCAATGTTAATTGCGTTGATTTTAGAGTAGTGTTTACAAATTTGAGAGTGAAAGATCCTCTTCTCAATGTTGTAGGAGAGCTTCTTAGGAACATTCTTAGGTAGTTTCGCTTTAGCAAATGAAGGAGTGCCTCGTTGGTTTTGACATTGATGAGGGAACTAAATAATTGAAAAGATACTTTTGTCCACCCTGTTTTTTTAATAAAAAACATTACTAATATGATCGTATCTTCAATTGCAAAATGTAATGTGAGTTTGCGATATAATTAAACTTTTTCATAAATCATAATATCAGTCAATCTACTACAATCTACTACAATTTCCTAAAACTCTAATCTTACTTTTGTAATCCTCACATTTTATTTATAATTTAATTCTTGATTTATGACCTGTTTCAAAATGATTAAAATCATTTTATATAATTATTGAAAAAAATTTGGAAATACAAATAGATTTCTGTAAAGTAGGTTAAATTAATTCAAGTTGTAAATAAACAAAGACTTGGCTCTTATCGCTGTCTTTGTCGGTCATGGCCAACTGAGGAGTATGTTAAACCTTACCTAATCTTATTTAACCTGACCTAACCTAACATAATCTAAATTAATTCCTAAAACTGTATAAGCCAAAAATACAAACAACAAATAATACATCTCGCACAGATCAAGGTATACATCTACTCCTCAAGCTAGTCGATACTGGTTGTAACTAGTATACATATTTCTATGATTATAATAATTGCTGTAACTGGTTTCGTAATAATTGCTAAACTTTGCCCCTTTATAATAAATTAATAATGATTTGAGGAAAGGGAAACATTCTTATATTGAATCGTTCTATGGAATTTAATTAAAGGTGAGTAATTATTATAGAATCAAACGAACTTACGTTAAGTGAAGCTCGACTTGTTTATACACTGCGCTTCCTTCGAAGATGATAAATAAACGTAGTACCCATTTTTGAGCTAGTTGTGCAACATAGTCCAAAGCCAGATCTTGATAATAATTATAAAGTAAGATTCTTTTATAACGAAAGTTGGCATAAACTCAAGAAATTAATTCTAAACTGTTCTGTTTCAATGAACTTATTCAGATTTATTTTTATAACTCAAAATTTTCGTTCTGCGCATGATATTTGTCTTCAACGTTCATCTATACCACGTTCTCTATATAATTCCGTTTTTTCCGTTTGAATAGGACCAATAGTAGCCCAGAAACACTCTTAAGCCCTTCCTGGCTTTCGTTCTGCACATGATTTTCCTCTTCAACGTTCATCTATATCACGTTCTCTACATAATTTCGTTTTTCCCGTTTGAATCGGACCAATAGTAGCTGAGAAACACGCTTAGGCCCTTTTGGCAATCTCATGATTTTTTCGTTCGGCGTTAATAGAGATTTCATTCCCCCCACTCCCCTTTTTCCCCTCACTCTGTCTCACTCTTACCCATTGAATATGTACCTCTCACTCTTACACATTGAATTCCCTATGTGGGCCCGTAACGGCTTTGTATCATTTGATTTCTTTACTAAGAAAATATTGAATATAAATTGTTCTTCACATGGCTTATAAAAGCGGATCGTCTTAACCTCAAGTAGATCATTTATTTCTGATAAGACCTAGTGATGTTAAATTAAGGACTGACAGGTTCAGTAGGAATCATATTTTGTACAGACAGAAAGAAGTAACCTTTAATCTAAGACCTTATACAAACGGATCGTCTGAGCTATCTCTATAGAATCTGTAGTGTTGACTTAGATTCCCTGCTATTACACTTACTTTTACATAATAAGGAGAGCTCTTTTTCCAAGGTTTCTCTTGGTGTACCCTGGGCATGAGTCCTTCTGTTGTCCGGAGAACTTTTGAAGTTTAAAGTCTTACGTAGTACCATAAACTTAGGCCACTGTTTCAAATCTTCTCTTGAACGCTTCATAGCTTTAGCGGATTTGCTTCGTTCTCAACTTAGCCCCTATTACTTCCATGAGGTCACTTTTAAATTATATTTTAAGAAGATTTTTTCTAGTATTAGGGTACTGCCAATAAGTAACGCATAGAAGACGGGAACCATCACTTAGCAGTTCCACCATAGGTAACCTCTTCTTCATCATCTTTCTCTTAACGAAGAATTAAGATGAATGTCTTACCAAGTAAGGATAGACTAGGACTAGACCCTAACTTGGTTTGTAAAGACTTTAACCTCATTTAAGAAGTGTATTGGTATCTGCTGCCTTAGTCTCTTTGTTGACTTTAGGTGGTGCCATCAAAGGACACATTAAGGATATATGGAAACAAGCTATTATTTGTAAATACATCTAGTGCTGAACTCAAGATGTCTAGTCATGAGGAAAGAGGCAACTACTTCCCTTTGAATAATTCCATCAGTAATCCACGGAGAAAAAATTCATTAAAAAATTTGCAATCCATCCTTCGGTTTTGAAAATCTTGAAAAAGAGCCTAACTGTAATAAAAGAACGAATCTAGAAATGATACATACTTAATAGATTTGTCAAATATTTATTTTATTTTAACAACTGCTTGTAACTTATTTAATTTTTACTGTAATGCCAGCTTACTTTCTCTTCTTTCATCTTTTCGGAATTGGCTGGAAGTTTTGGAAGCATGCATATTATTCCTTCGACTCAATAATGTCCCTTCACTTCCGAAATTTACTAATCTCAATACCTTCTTGCCTCTTTTAAAAACTAGTCAATTTATTGCGTTTTGGACAAGATCTCTACTTATTGGCGAGCGTTTGTGGTGGTTAAGTAAACCTACTGCCATTGGCTCTTTTGGTATATTCACTTCACCACAACACATCTGATACTAGGGTGACCGTGCCCTTTCGGCGTTTAGAGTTAATATTCTCATTTTTTTGTGTTTTGGTTTACAATTTATAATCCCACACCTATTTATTAAGTTTTTCTGTTTAAAATACTCATCTATTAAACTAAGTTCATTATTGTTACTGCACCTAAGAATGTCATAAAGTTATTATACATGTAATTTGTTTTTAAGAAACCACCAAAGTCATAGTATGTATGTCTTTATTAACATGTATCATCGCTTTATCGGCTCTAAATCCAAAATACGTTGACTCTAGAGGAGTCAAATTTTAAACACATTTTTTATGCAAATAATTTGTGTACGTATATTGCAATACCTTTAAATTTGTATGACAATATTTTTAATCATAATTATGCCATTCTACTCTTTCTATACATATACATATATTGTTCGTGATACTTTGTATTTACCCTATTATTTGTAACTAATAAGCACAATCCAATAATATTTTTCTGCTTTCAGCCTGTCGGTCGTCCGGAAGCTGACTTTACGTTGGATGTGCCAAGATCTGAACACTTACTGAAAAGGATGAAGAACGACAAGAAGTGGCGATGTCGTTGTAGGTTACTGACTTCCTTTTTCGGCCTCATCTTTTTCTTACTCTCCGTAATGGCAGTGAGCCTCATCCTCACAAGAGGGAAGAGGATGTTTGGTTCAATGGTTTAAGTAGTTGATACTGGTTTGATTGTCTCAAGATGGCATTATAACTTACCTAAATGTAATTATTCATAAATAAATAAATGAACTGGTTTGCAAAAAAAGATCAATACAAAAGTGAGGTTATGTTTCACACAACGTCAGTGATGTCAAAATTAATATTTTTTATATATGCGCTAGTTCAGTGATGATGTAATTATGGTTCCACTGACAATTAAAGTGACAGTAGATTTTTTGAGTGCGTTTTGTTTGTTTTGTTTACATAAATTATATCGTTTTTTTCACTTTTATAAATATATTCCTAAAGTAAGTAGATAGCATGTATCAAATATACAATCGTTTAGTTACCAATTACATACCTTTAAACTATTTTTTATGACCTGTAAACAATATTTTAAAATAAAATGAAAACAGTAAAAACGTATATGTCAAATTTATTGATGTTTTTGTTAAAAGTTTGGTTAGAATTAAATGTCAGTGGAACCAAAATGACATCACACTGAACTAGCGCATTGAGAATATAATATCTATGCTGCTCTTTCGACCAATTGAATTGAATTAATTTTGTTATTAACAAGTGAAAATACTACAGTTCTCCTTTCAGTACAAGTCATTATATATCAATTTTGATGTTTTTTTTTTTAATTTAATTTTAACTCATGCTAGTCCCAATCTTTGGAATTCATTTCATTCATTGTTTGGACTAACATTCGTGACAATTCAGTACCATTTTTATTGTGTTACTCTTTATAATTTTGTAAGAAATTATAACTTTATTCGGTACTGATGTGAAATTCTGATTTTTAAAATTTCCACAAATTCGATCAAAAATCCTATTCTCTGGTTTTACTAACAATTCATCCATGATTTATATAATACTATTTAAAGGATCTTTAGAGAGAAATTGAACGTCTTAAACCGCATCTTTCTATCTTGAACAGTTGCCGAGATATAATACCATTTTGTAGTGGTTTTGAAGAGAAATTCAAAGCCGTAAACTGCAGTTTACTATCTTGATCGGTTGCCGAGATATTTAACAAAAAGACCTGATTATTCTGTTAAAATTCCCCAAATTGATATAAAATGCTATTTTCTGGTGTTACCAATAATTTAATGGTAATTTATTATATACTATTCTGTTGTGCTCTTAGAGAGAAATTTAGCATCACAAACCGCATCTTCCCATCCCAAACAGTTGCCGAAATATTTTACAAAAACTTTTATTTTTATGTCAAAATTCCCCCAAATTTGATCTAAAATTCTCTGGTCCTACCAACAATTTTTCTCCAAATTATATATATGGCTTTTAGAGGTTACTTCATCGGCGTAAACCGCATTCTCCTTTCTCGAACGGTTGCCGAAATATTTAACAAAAACCCTGATTTTTCTGTTAGAATTCCACCAAATTTGATCTAAACCTTTATTCTCTGTCTCTACTAACAATTCGTTCGTGATTTGTATAATACCATTTTGTAGTGGTTTTGAAGAGAAATTCAAAGCCGTAAACTGCATTTTACTATCTTGATCGGTTGCCGAGATATTTAACAAAAAGACCTGATTATTCTAATAAAATTCTCTAAAATTTTCTGGTGTTACCAATAATTTAATGGTAATTTATTATATACTATTTTGTTGTGCTCTTAAAGAGAAATTTAGCAATCCAAACAGCATCTTCCCATCCCAACCAGTTGCCGAAATATTTTACAAAAACTTTTATTTTTATGTCAAAATTCCCCCAAATTTGATCTAAAATTCTCTGGTCCTACCAACAATTTTTCTCCAAATTATATATAGGGCTTTTAGAGGTTACTTCATCGGCGTAAACCGCATTCTCCTTTCTCGAACGGTTGCCGAAATATTTAACAAAAACCCTGATTTTGCTGTTAAAATTCTCCCAAATTCGATCTATAGTCCTATTCTCTGGCCCTACAATTCATCCATGATTTGTATAAAACCATTTTGTAAGGCTTTTAGAAGGAAATTCATCGCAGTAAACCGCATCCTCCTATTTCGAACGGTTGCCGAAATATTTAACAAATACTCTGATTTTTCTGTTAGAATTCCCCCAAATTTGATCTAAAATCTTATTTTCTGGTCCTACCAACAATTCATTGGTTATTTATTATATATTATTTTGTAAGACTGAGAGAAATTTAACGTCGTAAACCGCATCTTTCTATCTCCAACGGTTGACCAGATATATCATTGATAATTTAATTGCTGTGACACTGTTTTGGCATCCGTTGTTGCATTTTTCTTCCATTTCGCTCTGTTCTAGTATTTCCATCCATTTTATCTGCTTAAGTCGTCTGTGTACCTTTATTTGTGACTTCCTTTTTTCTATTATGTTCTCACGGTTTCACCAAGTCTAAAATTCCCACCTTTTGCCTTAAAAGTATGTTTGACAAATTTTCATTTTAGTTTTGCTGTCTGGATTAAGATATTTATTGTCATTGTCTTCAGCTGGTGTTTATTTTTTAATTCAATATAATTTTCTGTTAATCAGTTTTCTCAATTTAACTTTAGGCGTATTCTTTTATTCAGCGCTGTATCCAGCGCTTGCAGCAAACCGTTCCTAAATTAAGTGATTTAAAGACGATTGTATGTATCAATTGTTCTTTTTTCTAGCGGTGAGTTCACCAATGAGCCAACGCATCCATCGGCTTTAAAAGCTAATGGATATGTAATGGATGAATGGAAGGGATAGTTAATTAATTTTTTTGAACGTGTAAACAAGATTATTTAGATAAAAGTTATTCTACAATCTAAGAGTTTAAATATAGAACGGCTGTAGAAGAGATAACTTACTGTTAATTTAAATTAAATTAGGTTTAATTTTTAAAGCGATGTCAAACGTCAAAGTTTTCATTTAAGAAATGTCGTTCGTTCTTATTTTCCACATACTTTGATTTTCTTTTATTATACGGAGAATGGTCGCACTGCGCAGCTTTCTGAGTGCCTTTTAAAAGGAGATAGAAAACTCCGCCATTTTGAACCCTTATTACGTGTTGCTTACATCTTGGCGCAATATTTTTAATAGGTGCTTTTTAATCATCCGCTTCTGCTTCGGAATTGTCGGTTTTCTTGTTTTAATCTGACAGGTTAAAACGACTAAACCGAAAATTCCGGAAGCAGAAGCGGATGATTAAAACGCACCTGATATTTTGCTTGCTGCTGTCAGTGTCAGTAAATATTATTTTTGAAGTCACAGTTTATTGCTAAAGAATCAGTTAGCTCACTTGGACCAGTTGAAAGTTTCAAAATAACATCCACTCCAGGGATACAAATTCAGGATACGCAGAAGACTGCTGTTTTATTATAGGCGGTTGTCATATATTGTATTATCCGAGTTGCACAGTGTATAAACTGAAACATTGAGATCAAAAGTGTCGACGCAGAGTGAGCGATCTGATTCTTTAGCTGTAAACTGTGTCACAGGGTTCAAAATGGCCGCGCCCTATGTTGGGCGTGTCGGACCTCTCTCTTGCCTCGTATAGTAATCAAAGTATGTGTTATTTTCAGCGCAAATACCTTCCACCAAAAATTAATCAGTGACATGATGACATCAATCACAGATGGAACAATTGTTGAATAAAAGAACACGCCTTTTTTAAACACCAAATCTTCGACGAAAAAATTCTCATTTGTATTGATCTTTTTTTGAATCATAAAATTTTTATACACGTTTCACTTATTATGCCTCTTGATACATAGCAACTTAAACTAGTATCCTCATAAATCAAAAGTCATAATAAATACATTTATTGCTCATACGTAGGTTTAATGGTATACTAAATAGTTACCGGATTTGTTACCAGTATTGGTTCCAATAGGAGTCAGCTAGTTGTGATAAAGCAGAAAGTGTCATCTTCCAATAAAATAGTTATTGTGATGTCATTTTAATATTTATGTATTATTTATAATTTAGATTTGTAATTTGTATTCTGATATTTAATTTTATATTTAGTTTGTAAATATAATTTAAAATTTATAATAGTAATATTTGTTTATTTTTAACTATATAGAATTGGGGTTGTAAGAAATCGCAGCGGAAGGAAATTTCTAAAGTTTCTTTTCAATTGTGATTTGGGGTAGGTACTAAATAAGATTTTATTAAAACTGTGACTGATTATGGTAAATCAATTTATTCGCTGGTCAGTGTACAATTTGAGATACAACTAGTGAGTAGCGGGGAGCAACTACTGCTTTCTTTTTTGGTGTTGGTGCAAAGTATATTAACCGTTGAGTAGCGACATAAAGCGTCGGTGCCTTTGATCTTGGGTGGTGCAAATTTTCTTTCTCTTTCTTTTGACGTTATTGACGGAACGACACACTAAAACACTGCTCGAATTATGAACTGGTCTTGAATGTGATGTTTACACTGCTCGACGTAATTTGAAGTAAAACTCTTGCAGTTTACATTTATAATAAAGGTTTGGTCATTAGGCAGTTTTATATTTATGAGTATTTAACTTATGTAATAAATATAAAAATATATATCACTATTGATAAATTTCAATTTTTTTACCTACGTCCGAATGAGCTAGAGACTTGAAAGTTGTTAGGTGCACAGGGTTTTGATTTTTGATAATAATAGAAATTATTACTTATGGACCTTCTTATTTATTAATCGAGTTGTCTCAAACTTTAAATTTCGCGTTTAAACATGTCGCTGAATACAATTTTTGACTAATAAATCCACAACGAATTCCTATATCAGCTGCCGGACTAAAGTGAAAGGGGTTGTTTACATCTTTAGAAGACGTCTCGCCTCTCTATTTCGCGTCGGCGCACTAGAATTCGGTTCCCCAGCTGTCGCTACTCAACGGTTAATATACTTTAGTTGGTGTGGTTTTTTTTTACATAATACTGCTGTCACAAAAAAATAATATATCGTTATGACAGTTACCAAAGCAACTCTTATATACAGGTTGATTACTTTTACTTGTTAAAAAGTAAATTTTTAACATACTGCCCAGTGCAAAAAAATAAAAGAAAACGAATTGAAATATGTAATCAAACAAGAAATTATTATAACCAATAACAAATCTCAACATGTTAATTAAATTATCTTAAAATCAAACTTTAAAAACGTACAAACTAAGTCAGAGTGATAGGGTAATTTGGGGCACATTTGTTGTCCTCAATTTGAAGCAGAATCATTTTGGTAATTGGCCTGGTGTAAGAACCATCTTTTGTATAAACTTCGGCTGCACGAACTTTGCCGTCTTTAGTGTAAAAAACTTTGGTGACGCGAGCCAATGGCCATTTCAGCGGGGGTTTATATACAAATGTACAGTTAAGGATACGTAATTATTCATGGTAGATGACAGGAAGTTCAGTCATGGGTAAAGCGACGATCTAGACGATAGGGCGGACATACACACCAGGAGCAGTGCGGACTTGTACAGATCGGACTTTCCCATCTTTACCAGGGATCACGTCAACGATCCATGTTAATGGCCACTTCAAGGGGGGGAGTATCATCTCGTCGATTTGAAGATCTCTATGAGGGGTAGTAGTCCACTTAGGACGGTTTTGAAGTCAGTTGAGATGGTCTACTAACCACCACTTCCAAAAATTCTATTGCACATAGGTGCATTGCTGCCAAAACTTTAGCCTGTTAACGGTTGTCAGGAAAATATCTTTGTCAGGCAGTGACATCAACAGGGCTCTGATTTAAAAATGTCCTGGAGTGAGAGGATTCAAATCTATGGGATCTGAAGAGAGGGGAAACAATGGTCATGAATTCAATATGGCCTCAATCTGTGACAGAACAGTGTTGTGTAGTGTTCAAAGGTAAAGGTGAAGTTACTAAGCACTTTAAGTAAGTGATACTTTTAATGCCTGGTTGTCAAAGACCGCCCCAATGGGGGGACCTTGGAGGGATAAACTTGAATTCAATGGAAGAAGTGAGTAAATAATCATATACAGGAGAATATTTTTGTATAAGAAACTGTGATAACTCTTTTAGCTGGTTACCTACGAAATTAAATTTTAATGTTGAAATACACTTGCAAGGCGTTAATTAACTGCAAAGATTCACCTCTTAAATATGACTTTAAATAAAAAAACTTCTCTGATTTTGAAGTTATTATTAATTATTAAGGCTATAAGCAAATCTATAAATGAGGGATATTCAATACAATTTCCAGAAAAAAATGGGTAAATTTATATTTGGTAAACGAATATTTCTATTATTGACAGATGAATTTGGAGTATTTGAGAAAGTAATTGAATCTAAGCAATCTTAAAATGTACTTTTAATATCTAAACAGTTAATTTCAAAAGATTCACGATCATCTGAATCTTTGTCACTATTAATTTCAATTTGATCTTGAATGTCATTATATTTTGATAAATATGTTCAATATTTGATTTTTGCTAATTAATGAATCTTTATTTTCGTGATACCAATTGTTAGTGCGTGTAATCTGAGTTTTGCAAGTTGCCCTTTGTTTAACTAAGTCTTCCATATTTATAATTTATTTTACCCTTAACCTATTATCTTCAAATGTGGCTATGATTGAAAATTGGCTTGAGATTTTTGTAGAGAACTGCGACTAGTGGGAATCTGAATTTGTTTCTTATTTTAGAGAATACTGCTTAAGTGGAAATCTTCTGTGTAAAAATCTGTTGGGTGGGAGTCTTTCTTCTTTAAGTGGACCCTGCTTAATAGATCTGACTCGAAGGACCATGAATCACAATGGAAGGAAATTTCTAAAGTTTCTTTTCAATTGTGATTTGGGGTGCTAACTTAAAATTTAGTGAAACTTTTTTGAGTTTCGATAACAACTTTATTTGTAAAAGGACAGCACAATATGATACAGAATGTAATTTGTAACTTTAATTCTTTTATGACATTGAGTTTAGGGCAAATTTTGTTGGGATTTTTTTTATCTATTGTCACTGCTCACAATTTCTTTTTCTCTCATTATTATAATCGTTGCGACGCAACTCTTATATACAGGTTAATTACTTTTTCTTGTTAAAAAGTGAGTTTTTAACAACCGTATTCTATATTTATCATATTTTTTAGACTATATTTTCTATAAAACGAAATATTGTAAAATGATGTCATTAATGTTATTAGTAGCTACCTAAAAAATAGGAGTACCTCAAGGATCAGTTATAGGACCCACATTATGTAATACTACTCTATATGATGATATTCTGAACCTGGAGATCAAACAAAAGAAGTTACTACCTATGCTGACGATCTGGGAGTGTACTGTGAAGTAGAAAACAGAAGACATACAATTTGTGGTAAATGATGCCCTTAGCAGAATTTACAAGTGGATGGAGAAATATAATTTAGAAATCGCAGAACATTGCATATTGAGAATTTTAAACTCAACGTACTGTATACATGCGTAAAAGAAAAAACATAAAATATAAAAGATCATTTATTAAGTACTTCCAATGCTGGAAAAATATACATTCGCCATGTATTTTAAATATATAAATCTATATACAAGATACTTATATACAATATATTCCTAAATTTTCTATTTATCACTAATTTCAGTTTAAGTCTCAGCTTTGTTTCACATAACGGTGAATTATCAATTCAGCAGTATTTTTAAATCAGTCATCTTAATTTGATTTTATTATTTACCGCTTATAAAACTTGTTTAAGTCTTTTTAACTATTTGAAATAAATTTACTATGTTATCGTCGATATACCATTTTCTGTATGCATGTTGTAAGTAGCATACTGAACGGCATCATGGACGCTGGGGAATATTCGCAGAATATCCTTTTCCTTTGAAATTATATCACATCTCTCCAGTGTATTATAAACGCGATCTGTAAATATTAAAAATAACAGTTGAAACAGTTTTATGCAAATTAATCGCAAAATTATTTCTATTATCTCAAATTAATTCAAATTATCTCAAATTATCTCAAATTATCTTAAATTATCTCAAATTATCTCAAATTATCTCAAATTATCTCAAATTATCTCAAATTATCTCAAATTATCTCAAATTATCTCAAATTATCTCAAATTATCTCAAATTATCTCAAATTATCTCAAATTATCTCAAATTATCTCAAATTATCTCAAATTATCTCAAATTATATCAAATTATATCAAATTATCTCAAATTATTTCAAATTATCTCAAATTATCTCAAATTAACTCAAATTAACTCAAATTATCTCAAATTATATCAAATTATCTCAAATTATCTCAAATTATTTCAAATTATCTCAAATTATCTCAAATTATCTCAAATTATCTCAAATTATCTCAAATTATCTCAAATTATCTCAAATTATCTCAAATTATCTCAAATTATCTCAAATTATCTCAAATTATCTCAAATTATATCAAATTATATCAAATTATCTCAAATTATTTCAAATTATCTCAAATTAACTCAAATTATCTCAAATTATCTCAAATTATATCAAATTATCTCAAATTATCTCAAATTATTTCAAATTATCTCAAATTATCTCAAATTAACTCAAATTATCTCAAATTATCTCAAATTATTTCAAATTATCTCAAATTATCTCAAATTATCTCAAATTATCTCAAATTATCTCAAAATTCATTTACTAGTATAAAAGTTTTATAATTATGTTTTAAGATGCTATTATCATCATCTAATGAAAATAAGAAGATGTAAAGGTTTATTTTAATACTAGAAAACGTCCGTTATATTTTATAGAAAACATAAAAAAGATAGTTAAATTGTGGTAAATTTTGATCAATGTTATATTAGTTTAATTTGTTCATAAATTTTGTAAAATTCCGTTTTTTTTGTTTTTTAGGAATTTTGCTACCAAAATAGTATTATTTAGGATCTATTCTGTAAATATTTGGTTAGAATTAATCCTAGGTCATAAAAATAACCACATTTTTAAATTTGTATGTTATAAGTAAAGCTAAATTGTTAATTTATTAAAACTAATATTTTGAAGATTCTTAAATTGGAAGTGATCCAAAATTATACAGAAAGGCTTTTCTAAAAAATGTAATATTGTTACTATTATTCTTAGAATTGACCAAAACGTTACAGCATAGAACCTTAAAATGTTAAAGGAATTAAAATCATAATATTTTATTACCTGAACAAGCTGCTATGTAAAACAAAACATTCAATAATTTAAAATTATTTATTTCGTTTTTCAACATTGCTGCACCACTTGGATCCATATAACTAACTGATGAAAAGTCCATTATCAGACATTTTAGAGAAGTATTTATTTTAGATTCTAGTTTATGCATTTTTTCTTTGATCTCATTGTTCTCAGATTTTTTTACCTAAAAATTAAATTACTCAATTAGACAATAATGACTTAGAGAACGAGTGAATATATGGTGTTGCATGAAGTAACTGTATAAACTTATTACTGAGTTCAATTCAAGCAAAAAATGCCCTATGAACAAATAATATCCAATGGTTACCGAGCAACAAACATTAAGAAAAGTAATTCACAAGTGTAGGACAACTAGTCAATTGACGTTTATAATAACCAAACTACGTTAATTTATCTTCTGATCTTTGAACGCTTGTTGCTCAGTAACCATGGAAAATTGAATATTTGTTTTTATTAAATATAATATGTGAGTTTGTAACCGTACATCATGCAACACCCTGTGTATAAGGTAATAAAATATATACCTTCTCTTGAAACTTTTCTAACTTAGCACGAAGGACTAATTCCTTTTGAGCATTTAGTTTTACGAGTTTGTATAATTCTTCTTTGAATATATTTTTAGTTGCAAAATTTATCCCACCACAATAATGGAAAATTTTTATCCCTTCCAGTTCTTTTGCCTAAAATAAATAACGAGTAGGTATTGTAAATCATAATAAATATATTCAAATTTAAAATCATTTGACATTGGAACCATAGGGATATTTCGGCAAAAGGAATTTGGTAAACATAGTTTTAAATACCTAATACATCTGGTTTACATAAATACAAAAACAAAGAAGTCATGTAGGGAACCAGAATACATTTTAACGGAGAGAACGTCCATTAGGGAATAGGGAAAAACAAAACGAACCAATCTCGTATACAGACGGTTTCAAAATGAAAAACAGCACAGGAGCTGGAATCTACCATGTGAACTCAGGGAGGACAAATAGTCTGAACCTGGGGTCACTGACAACAATCTTCCAGGCTGAAATAACAGCAATAAATGTCTGCGCCAAAGTCTGCTTAATGACTCTTTTAGAGAGGGTTTTTATCTTGATAGACGGTCAGGCAGCCATTAAAGCACTGAAAAGGGTAGAAGTACAATCTACAGCAACACTTGATTGCCAACAGTCCCTCCAGGCCCTGGCAGAACATAACAAGTTCACCCTTGAATGAGTGCCGGGACATGAGGGAGTTTTTGAATTCATCAAGAAAATCAAACTATGAGGGGTACAATAAGTCTGGAGCTTCAGTATGAGTGCGCTTTAAACCACGCCCTAATTCAGATATATAAACATATAGATATATAGATAGATACATAAAGAACAGAAAAGTCATGTAGGGAACCTGGAACCTTTTAGCTCTCTAAAGATAAATACAAAAACAGAGAAGTCATGTATTACGTTTATGTTTTACTTGTTATACCTTTGTTGCACAATATTGGCGATTTGCTGGACAAATGCAGCGTTTTGCTGGAAAAATACGGCGTTTTGCTGTACACTTGCTGTACAAGACCAAATGTTGGATAAACTTTGAAAATACTATACAATACAGCGAAATGCTGTTAATTATGGTCACTCTAATGTACTGTCATCTGCCACAGAAGATTATAATTTAATATGACTTGGTTTATACAGTGTTGGCACGATTAAACCTTTGGACCTGGATATATTATCGAGTCATCTGTCAGTACCATCGCTACTGACCTATAAGTGCCCACTAAACATGAAACATTACCAGTATTTTTTGTAACGTTTCTCATAGAGACTTTTCTTGATATGTTTTTAAAATAATGCTAAAATATCCCATAGATGTTTAAATTTTAACATCATATATATTAACATTCCTAGTATATATCTACAAATGAAGTTTTATGTGTGCTGGAATACTTCAATTCGCATTTACATAAACATCTTTTGTACTTCTTTTTAGTTACTTCAATTTAGGTTGTTATCTGATATCAGCCCTGACTTATATAGCTCCCCTTAACCTTCTAGAACTATCCGGATTTTTCTTGACTGCGCAACATTCCTCCCTCCTTTCTAGTTATTCGCCCCGAATAACTTGATTACTGGGACCCGGTTGGAGCTAACGGGGAGGATCTGGACCACGATATGGTAACTTTTCAACGTGAACTATCTTGAGTTTACTTCCCGCTGACAACTGAATGCGGTAGATTAGGTCATTAATTTTCTTGAGGACGGTGTAGGGGCCCAGTTCCGTTGCAGTTTCTAACAAAGTCCTTTTCGGCGCTTAGGATTGTACAGCCATACTGGATCGCCTCTCTCAAAATGTGTCCCTGTGGCATGCATGTCGATTCTAGCTTTTGCTTTATCGCTACTAACTTTCAAACGTTGCCGAGCGAATTCGTGTACCTTCTCTAATCTTTCTCTTAGGTTCTGTATGCACGTGGGAGGTGTACGGCCCTCTTCTTCACCAGAAGGCTGCATTCCAAAAGGGTATTGCCCTGCTTCGACAGGTTCTTTAAAGGTGTCCGATTCTTTCACAATTGAAGCATCTTCTGCTCTCATTTTGACTATTTCGTTGCATACTTTGCAGGATATTTAAGATTTGTGTGAGGGTAGTGTGAGGGTAGGTTGAGGGACAGTATTAGTAGTCCTCTTCACTTTCCTGGAATCTAATTTCCCTCAATTATGCGCGAGAAGATCTAGACATACTTTTTGCTGCTTCGTATTCCTGGGCTGCAATTAGCGTCTCACTTAACGTCTTGTGGTGTTGTAGCCGAAAAGTCTGCTGCATTTTCACGTTCTGTAGTCCATCAATGAATGCTTGTATGCCGATTTGTTCTAATAAATCTTTAAGTGGATAGGCCAGATGCAGCAATCTTTTAATATCAGCTTCAAATTCTTGTAGGCTCTCATTGTGTTTCTGACTACGAACTTTTAGTTGGCTTTGGAATACCTGTTTCAAATGCCGCTGACCATATCTTGTCTCCAAAGCTTGGACGATAGATGAACAACTGGGTTCTTCTTGGGGAAGTAACTATAAAACGGTTGCTGCCTGACCTCGCAGTGACACTATCAATGAATCCGCCATCTCTTTCTCGGTCCAGCCATTGGCTCTAGCTGCAGCTTCAAATTGGAGTCGATATGTTTCCCATATTGTCTGACCGTCAAATGTGGGTGGCTTAAGAGTCTTGCTAGTATAGTTTTGTGAAACTGGGATTCGAATGTGGGCTTGGTTCGGTTATGGATAAAGATGAGGTAGTGTTTTCAGCTTCAATGTTGCTTAACGAAGCTTGGCTACGAATTATTTTTTCTAACTCTACCATTTCAGCTCTAATTTGCTTTTCTAACTCTACTCTTGCATTTTCCTGCTGTTTTAAATTCTCTTGTCGTTGTTGTTTTAAATTGGTTTTTAAATTCTGTTGTTGCTGTTCTAACTGAGTTTTTAGATGCTCTTGTTGTTGCTCCAAATTAGTTTTTAACTTCTCTTGTTGGTGCTTCAAATTAGTTCTCAACTTTTCTTGCTGTTGTTCTACATTAGTTTTTAAAAACTCTTGTTGTTGTGCCAAAAGATCTACTCTATTGTTAAGCTAACCAACCTCTTGCTTGAAAGTTTTCTGGATTTGTAGCGAACCATTCAAAATTTCAATCACTTTTTTTCTGCACCACTCTTCTTCGTCCTTCCTGTGCCTTTCTTTTTCCTCTTCTTCTGCTTTCCTACGCCTTTCCTTTTCCTCTTCTTGTCTTTCTCTTTCCTCTTCTTCATCCTTCCTACGTCTTTCCTTTTCCTTCTTTTCTTCCTTCCTACGCCTTTCCTTGTCCTCCTCTTCTTCCTTCTTGCGCCTTTCCTTCTCCTCTTCTCGCCTTTTTCTATCCTCTTCCATCTTCAAAAACCATGCTGGTGGGCCTGACGTATCCATTCCTGCTTCGTACTCCGTGAATTTAGTATTTACGATGAACTTCTATTTTGTATCCCACGGCTGTCACCAATGTTGCACAGATTTTTGGTATCTCAATTTATTTCAACTCAACTTTTACAACAACTATTCAACTGATAACTTTAACGTATAACGACTATCATAAAACTGAAAACTGACGTCAGGATCATCCTTATACAGCTTGCCCTTCTCGAATCTTCTCAAACTGTCGTCTAGAATATTATTGACGTGTAATGGCATTTCCAGACATTTCTATCTTCTTTTACTTATAGTTTTATTTATGACGACCGCAGCATACTGTACGGCGATAAGTAACATTCCACTTCTTTTTCTATCTGTACGTTTTCTATAATAGCCGCAGGCTACTGCAGGGTGCTGCGTAACAGTATTATAATGCGTATTCGCGACAGACTTCATTGGTCTTGTATTTAATTTTGATATTTTTTGCAATCTATTTTACAAAAACAATAAGCTATACATTTGTTTGTTAGGATAATAAAACAGTATTACTTCCAATGTGAGGCCCTAAGAAAACTACAGTAATCGAATGTTAACATTGATGCTTGATGTTTATGCTTCAATATTAATAAGGTCCAGAAGATCTGGATTTTTAATTTTCCTCTTTTCTAGAGGAATCGAGGTATTGCTGGCTAACATGGTTAGACGATTTTGAAATCTTAAACTCGATACATAGTTTTATTAAAGAAATATAAATGACAAAGCAAATTTCACTTTCTAGATTTTTTCAACACATAATCGGACAGTCTATAGTATACGTTTTTAGGTTATACACTTACTGCAACAAGTCGGGAATCGTTACAATCCTATCTGTTGCGTAATCTGGTAAAACCATAATTTTTTTTTTTAATTAAGTATTACAGAGTTGTCTTCCTTGTCTTTATGTAAATGTAATGTATATCGAATTAGTACTGCATTTTTTTTATTCTTCATCATTTAAACAATATTTCTAGTGAGCGCAGATGATTTTATAGTCACAAATTTTGATACCTGTGGTACAAAAAGCCTTCCTTACTGTCTTGTACACTGTTAAAGCCAGTTTTGCATAACTTAACTAAGGTTATTAAATATTTCAGTTCATGGAAAATGTTGGTTTTTGAGTTATGACTTTATTACCTAAACTAAATGAATTAATTAAAAATACACTTACGCCTTTATATCGATTTATATCCAAATATAAATCCGTACTAGGTACTGATCCTAAAAGACTGGTGTACGGTTTAAAACTGAAGAAAAAAATTGAAAACAGTGACATACATACGCCAACTAATAAACCAATTTCCATGCTGACGAAAACGACAGTCAGAAACGTTACTATCCAAACAATGGCGTCGAGTTTACTTAGTCTCCAAAATTTGACTACATGAGTAATCTGCATCAACATCCCCTTCAGCGATACGACAATGACACTGGCCAAAACACTCTAGAACATAAAACGATTGTTAAAATATTTTCATTTGTATTTGTATAAAGAATCTTGAGTTTGCTTACTCAAATGTTGTTAGGTTCTACTTACTCTTGGTAATGGTTCAAAAAATGGTCCTATCGAGAGAAGTGTAATTATTAATAGAATAGCTGAAACTACTGAAACTAGCTGAGTTTTTCCTCCTACGACTTGTTGAATCATAGATCTTGATAAAGATGCACATACAGGCATACAGAAAAACATGGATCCTACAACGTTACTTGCTCCCTAAAAATGTTATAATATAATTCATTAGATTTGTGGTACACGATGCCATAACTTGATATGAGTTATCGTTATCATTGTGTTGTCTTCGTGAGATCTACGAGATGGTAACCCAGATAGCACATAACCATAACGTTGCCAAGCCTTCCGACGATGTCGTTTTAAGGGAACGTAATAACATCACCATACAACGTTAATGCAACGTTCATAAAAGGTTGTTTAGGAAAATAAAAACCTCGCAACCAAATAATAGTGGATACATTGTTTTATACAAGAAGATACATATACACTAATGACACTAAAAATACATTTTAAATATATATTGTAGGTGCTGGATTATCATTCGATAATTCTAGAAATCAGGAATTTTAAAAGCAGTAGTAAATACCACAGAATTGATTGAGGAGTAACACTTGACATTTTAGAAAAAACGAATCTATAATCAGGTACATGGTATGTCTATATTAAAAACAAACATTTCAGATTTAAGAAGTGCATTTTCTTCAACAGACTTGAGTGGTGAATTATGGTAAACTGAAATGGCCAATTAGCCGAACCATATAAATTACTGGGCATGGACGGGTTTTATCCAATAATGTTACAAAGAGGTCCTGATATTTTATACAGCAGACTCTGTACCATACTCAGAAGTAGCCTGGCCTTTGGATACATACCAAAAGCTTGGAGAAATATTAGGGTAACTTTTATACCAAAACCTGGGAAAATAGGACAGGAAATGGCAAAGTCCTTAAGACCAATAAGTCCTTTGTACTGTTAGATAGGCAGACGGGATATTGGTTCAGAGGCCAATATACCAAGACCAATACGCTTATAGTGCAGGGAAATCAACTGAAACAGCTCTCCATCAATTAATAAAAGGGGTGGAGAACACACTGGAAAACAAAGAGGTAATACTGAGAGAATTTTTGGATATCGAGGTTGCATTTGACAATACCTCCGTTGAATCGATGATTAGATCTCTTAAACACAGAGGAATCGAGGACACGTGCGTGTCCTGGATCGACTCTATGTTAAGGAAGAGAACTATACTCACAACCCTTATGGGGGAGACAATAGCGGTACTTGGAAAAGCCTGCATAGGCAGATCATGTCCCAAAAGAACTGGAGAACTACTCTTTATGAATAGGAACCAGTTGAAAGTGATAACAGGGTTCATGACTAGGCACGTCCCAGTAAAGGGACATTTAAACAAAATTGTCATGTACAATGGGGAACTCAAGTGCTTCCTTTCTTTACTCGCATCAATATTCAAAAATGATTCTGGACTGGTTCTAAGCCAAAAAAACAACACTAACAGCGACACATTCGTACATTTATTATCTTTACCAAACTCTTCTAGAATTAAATACTCACCATAGCTAGTAATTCTTGATTAGCATCGATTTCATAATTTGCTTTCTGAGCTAACATCAGCCCTAATGACATTGATGTTACATAAGATACAATTGCTACTGAGATACCGCTTAGTAGTACAGATGGTATCAAAGAAATAGGCGGTATTGATGGTTCTGGCAATCTAAAATTATCAATATTGTTAGTTTGTGAAAGAATTAAGTAATCAAAACAATCCAACCAAAAAAGGGTTTGTGGATGTAAAAGTAATTGAAGACGAAAATTGAAAAAGAAAGGCTACATGAGCATTCTCGAAGCTCGACATTTGAGAAGGATTAATACCATGATCAATAATGTCAGCACAAAAACTACTTTCAAAGAAAAGTATTATTCTAAAAATATTTTAATCTGTAACTGTTTCTAAATTTTATTTTTAAACTCATAAATAAAATTTGGCACGAAATAATTTTTTCTCATTATATGTTAAGGTAAAGTATGTATTTTTGTAATAATCTTACCCACTTGGAATCACTCCAACTGTTGTAATATTATATTTCTTAGGAAGATCAAATTGTTGAGATACAAGAGCACCTATTATGACAACTATTAATTCAATGGGAATTGGAATTGACGATTTCTTCGCTACGATGGGCTAAAAATGATTAACCAGCTTAAGTCCTACACTGTAACTCTATTCATATTATAATATGATCACTAATTATAAAGAAATTTCTTCAAAAAAAAAAAATATAATGAAGTATTTCTGGAAAACCGAAAATAATTTTTGAGGATGCGTTTTTATTCCAGAACCTTCTAATTTAATAACGCTTGGAGCCAAAAGCCAAAAATACAATTTTTCTGTATTTTAATCAAGAATTATGTATTTCAAATCAAGATAGTATTAAAAAAAGGGTAATAAATAATTTTTTTAGAATAATAATTGATAACGTTTGATATAATTTGTTAATTCAATAAAGTTTAAATAACTAGAAGCATAGCTCAGTTAGGAAAGCATTAGACTGTAATCTAAAGGTCCCTGGTTTGATTTCGGGCTTTGCCAATTTTTTTTATTATTACTAGTATCATTAATATTATCACTACTTGTGCATAAAAATATTATTTATAATAAATTTAGGTAAAAATAAAGAAAAAATATAAATTTTGGCAAATAAATCAAAAATGTCAAACCTATCTTGAATTTTAGAGATAAACCTAAGTAGGTGACTATAATATAAATAAAACATTACAAAATAACATTTTCATATAATTTAATTAAGAGATAGTATCAAAAAAGGGTGATCAATATTATTTTTAGAATTATAGGTAATTGAAAACGTTCGATACCTATAAATTGTTTATTTAGTAAATTTCAATATACGAAAATGTTTTGCCTCTATTTAAAATTTTAATATAATAGAGAGAAATTGCAAATTTCTATAACGTCAGCCACTAATAGTAACTATATTATTAGAGACAAATAAATTCCATGCTAAAATAAGACTTATTGCAAACCTAACATTATGACATTAGAGTCATAATGACCTAAAAAGGCGTTTCCAAAGAGAGATACAACTTTCTAGTGAGTAAAAATACATCCAGGATGCAAACGCAGCCACTTTTTTAAATTCACGTGCGTAGTAAGCAATAAAAGGTAGCATAAAGTCTACATCTAACGGCTGTAGCCTATACAGTACGGTTGGAAGTACATGACGATAACCCCATTTTCTTAGAACTGTCTCTAGGAGTTGTAGGTTTTTCGTCTGCGGCGAGTGGCCGTCCAGAAGCAGCAAGACTGGATTGTCCTTGGATGCTCGTGACCAACTAATAAACTACTCAAACCATTTTTGAGATATTTCAGCTTGTATCCATCCTGTTTCACTACATTCCACCCATGTTTCTTGAGGAGCACCGTCAGCAGCTCAGGCTTTAATCCTTTTCTTGGGAAAATAAGCATTGGTGAATAGTCTTTAAAATATTCATGGTTGAAGATCCATTGTGAACACTATATTGTTCGAACTTTTGTCTTACACCTTTTCATTACGTGCCTCTATTATATATTATATATTATCTTCTATATTTTTGGTTTTGTAACCCACACAAACATCACACTGGCCTCTTTTGGGTGAGAAGAGTGCTAGGTTTAAATATTCAAACATATTTAAAAAAGTAACAATACTCAAGGCTTCCCTTTCATGGTCTTTACACCAGTCTACTTTGTAAAGTGAGAGAAGCTCAGCTGTTGATTTGAATCGTGGTTCCAGATACATTTTTTCATTGATTTTCTGCAGAAGTGAGATTCAAGCTTGGGCAAACTATCAAAGAAACTATTTACTGTCAAACCTAGAATATCTACTCGTCATATTATTTTCTTTTTCAACATCATTATATTTTTATGGTTATTCTTATAGTTGTCATTATGTTATTAATGTTAGTTAATCTTGTCAAGCTAATTGTCCTTTTAAATTGATTAAACCTTTACAAAAGGAGTATAATTCATCTCAATCATCGTCGTCATCTTTTCGTATAGGATTAGATTTATCTTTTTTTGTCCATTCTGAGATGGTTCTGATAGAGACTCCCAAGGTATTAGAGAACATCATTTGGCAAACCCTTATTTGTTAACTTTTTAAGAAAAGGAAATATTGATAAGAAGCTGTTCGCTTACTAATTTCTGTATTAGTCATATGCCTTGCTCGTTTTACTTTGTTCTTGAAAACTCTTGCAGAAACATTTTTTTTTTCATGTCATGTGAATTGCCAAAACTTATTTGAAAATGTTTTTCCAATTTTCTTCAGTTAATTTGTAGCATTAAATTTTCAAGATTTTCCTGTTTCTTTCAATGTTAAGTTGATTGATCTTTCTGTACAAGTAGTTTAAACATCTATTCTTTTTAATGTTATTATATTTCTACTTTGCTGGATTACCTAATCTTCTTTTCTTTCTACTTCTTGGAGTTTCTTCATTTAAAGTATTATCTTCATTCGTTTATACTTCCTCTTCTGATCTCTCCAATGTTCCTTGTTCTGCTTTAATATTTTGACGTTCTTTAGTACCCTCTAAACTTGGTAATGCTTCTCTGTCTGCGTCTTCATTTTGACTTCCTTCATCAGTGTTACTTATACCAGGTATTGTTTTGTTCAGAATATTGCCCCAACTCAATTATGTAAATTTTTACAGGATCATAGATCTCTTTGGAGGTAGTGTAATGAAATGTCCCAAATTTTGGTGCAAATAAGATTCCCAGAAGCTTAGTATTACAATACTAAGGTAACAAAACTACATACTACATAATTTCCTTTCCTGTAAAATTTAAATAATGGAGTTAGGACAATATTATTCTTTGCAGGCAATTTTTAACCTCATTTAAAAAAAAGTTAATTACAGTTCATCTTTTTTGTTGTCTATAAGAGTAAATATTATTGAAGAGGTATTAGAAATTAATCTTTTAAAAGATTTAGATGACGATGACATTAACTATTTAATATTAAAAAACTTCGAACTGATACGAATGTCGGCGAGGGCACCCGAAAGCTATAAAGTCGCCACTATCTGTTGCCCTTAAACATTTACAATTAAAGACAGGCACAATCTTTATTAAAGTTAGTTCTGGAACATAAAGGATCTGCGCATACTCAGATGTCAAAATAAGAAAGGCGCTAATACTGACTGACGTTAAGTGAACTTGCAATATCTTTCTAATATGACAGTTGTTGCTGGTATATTGGAAAAGTACTCTCCTTCCTAAAGGTTTGTAAAAAATTTGGATTTTTAAGAAACTAAAGCATTCTCAATAATTACCATTTTTTGAAAAACTTGTACTTACCTTTAGAAACTCATTATTGATCACCAAGATAGTGACAGCTATTGCTGATATTATTATTGCTGGTAAATTATAATTTTGAAAGTTCTCAAATAGCAAGATTAACGTCTAAAAATATGTACATATCAGATTAATGCTGCGTTTGAATATCCACATCGGATGTATATGAGATAGAGGATTATATTTAGTTGTAGATGTAATAAAACAAGTTAGAAGTTTATACTTTTTGCGTTTGACTTTTGAGACTAGAAATCAACTTAAATTTGAAAAATAAACAAAATTTAAACAATCTAATCAATTTTATATTTATACTAGCATAAACAAAGGATAAATATTGTAAATGAACTGAAATGAATCGGCATCTGGCTTCACAAAACACCTACTTTATGGCACGGAACGAATTTAACAAAAAATTAATGACAAGTTTGACAATCCCCATTACAACATCTCATTTCAAATCAAATCAAATGTAAAAAATATAATCTGTACAGCTACATATCGGATAAAAAACGGTCCAGATGTAAAAAAGACATCGGATGTGGATATTATACTCAGTTCAAAAACAGTAATAGTCAATTCACTTACGTTTGTTGTTAAGAAATTTCCTGAGAGTTTCGGTATGCTTATGCCAAAGAGATCTTTTAACTGAGTGACAACTATTTGACACGCAGCGCCAGCGGTAAATGCGTTAACTAACATTTCAGAAAGCAGAGCAGCTGCTGCTCCGAGTCGCAAAAAATACATAATCAACTAAATAAGAATAAAAGACGATTAAAATCAATAAACAATTCACATAACTACATAAAATATAGCGTCAAATTTAGAAGGTGTGAATTATAATACAGGGTTACTATAAAATAATCATCGGGTTTGACAAAGCTATATTTCGGAAAGTATGATGGATACAATAATAAAGGGTATGTCGGTAGACAGAGAAAACATTACATTTTTAGCGCGTTACAAATGTTCAATGTGGGCTCCTCGAGTCACACGACAGATGTCCAAACGATAGTCCAGTTCAGTCCACACACTCTGCAATGTATTGCGGGCGATACTGTTGACAGCAGCGGTAATGCCTCTTCTGGGGCCCGCCAGTGTTGCAGGTAGAGGTGGTACGAACACCGTGTCTTTAATGTACCCCCAAAAATAAAAATCGCACGGTGTAAGATCAGGAGAGTTGGGAGGCAACGCAAACATTGCCAAATCGTGTTCCGCACAACGGCCTATCCAACGATGAGGAGTTCCTCGTTTAGATACCCACGCACGTCATTATGTCAGTGAGGTGGAGCGCCATCTTGTTGGTATATAAAGTTGTTAGAATCAGCCGTTAGTTGTGGCATTAACCACAATTGCAACATATCGAGGTACGAAATACCGGTCACAGTGTTTTCATTGAAGAAAAACGGTCCATACACTTTTGTGCTGGATACGGCACAAAAAACATTCAATTTTGGAGAATCCCTTTTATGTTGGACAGTTGCATGAGGATTTTCGGTGCCCCATATCCGAATATTGTGACGGTTCACCTTGCTACTTAAATAAAATTTTGCATCGTCGCTGAACACCAGACGGTTAGCGAATCCGTCACCCTCCATGGCTTCCTGCATGTCATTACAGAACTGTAGTCGCTTGACACAGTCATTTGGTCGTAACTTTTGCAACAGATGTATACGGTACGGTTTGAATCGCAATCGTTTCCGCAAAACTTTCCACACAGTTTGCTGCGGCATACCAAGTGCACGGCCTGCTTGACTAGTGGATTGTTGTGGCGACTGCACAATACATTGTCTAACCGCATCCACTGTTGCGTCGGACACTCGTGGTCGTCCGGTGCTTTTACGTTTCTCAAGTACACCTGTAGCCTAGAAGTTTCGATACCATCGTAGAATGCTCTGATGACCTGGAGGAGCAATTTCGTATTCCCGTCGGAATGCACGTTGCACTGTCACAACCAATAAACATCGAGCGTATTCTAACACACAGAATGCTTTCTGCTGCATAGTCGCCATTTTCATCACTGCTGACGTGACGTGGCGTGCGCATGACCAGCTGCCTCCGCACGCGCGCGTTGTAAACGTAGAGGTTGCCGCTGCCTATAGACATGTCATTTATTATTGTATCTATCATACTTTCCGAATTATAGCTTTGTCAAACCTGATGATTCTTTTATAGTAGCCCTGTATATTTCTTTTAACTATTATTCCATTGTTTTATATTACTGGTCCAAATTATTTGAAACTCTCCTCCTGCTCAATCGGTTTTGAATGTGTTCTCCACTGACACAACAATACTAATCCTATGTTGTCAGCAAACATCAGTTTTGTTATTTGAGTTTCTTTCATATCCAATATTGTGATTCAATTTTTTCTAAGCGATCTTAGTTGTTGCTGTCCTCTGTGGTCTTTTGGTAGAAAAAAAAGGGGAAAATCTTGTTATTGGTCTCTTTTTCTCTCAGTCCTGTCTTCCAAGGCAATAATTTGAAGCGTCTTTTGACTGGTTGTTGAGTCGTTTTATTTTCTCCAATCTTGCTGCTCTTTCCAAATATGACTTAGATTTGGTGGTCTCCTCTGCAATTAACTTACGTCACTGGTGTGTATCTGGATTTTGCATCTGAGGAAGAGACAGTCTCAGTTAGTTGTGACATGTTCCCACCCCTACCATATAGGGTTATCCACTTTTAAAGCTGATTGGTTTTCTTCTTGTCGGAGATTCTAATGTCTGGAAGATTCAAATATTGGTGTGTTGCTTGTGTTGAATCCTAATCATTTCAAATTTTATTTGTCATTTTGAGGGGTAATTTATTAAACAACTTCATCCGGTCACGTGTAATTTAAGTTGCCTATTAGTAGGTTCAAATATATTTACGCGTATTTTGAGAACGAATCACGATTGTAGATTCGTACGATGAAGAGACCTTTGAAAAGGTCAGTACGAAATAAACCGTTTCGAGAACCGGTAAATTTTAAATATTTGCTGCAAAACGTTCTTATCGGTAAAATTAGAATAAAAACCTGTGGTAGGAAAAAAGCCTGGATCATCCCTTGGATACCGGAATTAAGGAGAACTCTCACGTCACCCCTAGATGTGTTTGGGTAAGTGATTTGGTCTCAATCGTTTTTTCTTAACCGTTTTATTCTTTTTTATTTATTTTTTTTTTAACTATTATTCAATAGAACAATTTTGAAAGACATACAGTCTATTTTGCTCTGTCTACTGGTTAGGCTATCAACTGTTCCTACTTGCGGGAATGTACAGCTTGTACTAGTTCCGACTGGTAGTGCTGGGTTTTCAGAATCCTCCGTAGTACTACTCTCTTATGTCTTTATCTCTACTATTTACGAATTCAACTGATTTTTCCAGAATTTCAATTAGTATCCATAACTTTCATTTGGCCTGTTCTGATTTCCTGTTTTATATTTATTCGAACTTTTTGCGATGCAAACCACTTCTTCCTAGTTTAGTCAATAGTCAAGTTATTTAACAAAAACACTTATTTCTGTTAAAATTCCTTTAAATTCACTCTGAAAATCCCATTATCTAAATTATGACAAAAAAAAAATTGTGACCAACAAAAATTATGACCAAAAAATATTATGATCAAAAAAATTTGTACCTGTACAACTGCTGCTACTAGAGTAACTGCACAAGCGACTTGCATTGGAGTAATAATATCACCATCTGTTGCTTCTGTAGGAATTGTGACTAGTGTTACTGCTTTTTTTGAAATTTTAAAAAATGAAGGATCACTGTGCTCTAGAACGGCTTTTCCGGTCATCAGACAAGCTATGGAAAATGTTCCTAAAAATAAATTTTTTATATTAACAACTGTTTTTAAGTAATTAAGTGAAGGTGGTAGGTATATTTTTTATATAAAATGGAGTATTTAGTAAATATACCGCCAAACTTTGGGGGCGATAGAGGACATCAAAATAAACAATTGTTCGATAAAAGGCTTGTCCCGTGGAGATTGGAAATTTCGGACACACGCTAATAGGTTCAAAAATCATTACCAATAAATTGGAATCTATTAAAACGTTTTTAACATATTGATTGAAAAGTAATTCTTTTTTAAATGTAACACCTTTATCTCAAAAACGAAGATTTTTCGGAAATATGTTTAATAAACAAGAGATCTTTATTTTGATGTCCCATACCGTTTGTTATACATTTCCAAACATTAAAAAAATGTATATGCCTGAATATATTTTAAAGAAATTTAAATAATAAATTAAATTTAACTCCCTTACCATCAGAAAATTTGAGAATTGAAAAATGTTGGTAATACTGTCTAAAGAAATGTTTGGGGTAAATTGATATGGAAAATGGTGGGTAAGGATAGCAAAACTTTACGTCATAGGAAATTTGGTTGGGTTTGATATTGATAAAGAGATGATATATGCAAAAAGAGGTAGAAGTAAAGACCAAATAAGGGAATAAAAACTCAAAATAAACATGATCGATTATCTTCAGTTTAATATCTGGATCTTAGAATCCATTTTACAAAATTTTACAGGAAAGTTTATTGAAACTTTTGGCTGCCTGTATTTTTAATTGGACTTAATATTGGTTTTAAAAATATATCTGGAAAACTAAAGACAATAGGCCTTAATACTTAGCACCTATGGAAAGAACAGGAAAAATAATGTAACACAACTTGAAAATAAAAAAACGTTATTACTGTTTGGCTCTGAGGTCCAGATATAATATTGGATCGTTAAATTTATATTAAATTTATGATGTGGAATGACATTTTGAGATTGTCCCAAATATTTAGACAAAGTCGGAGTAAGAATGGAGTAAATCGGTATAAGTAAGTATCGAAGATGGTGATTCGAAAGGAGATAGAAGTAAATATTTGTGAAATTTTTAGAAATCAGAATCTAACCCAATATTGACATTACTTGTTAAAATTATTTATTCAGTATTTTAAAATGTTATCTTACCCATAGATACGTGCCTAGAAGATCCAAAAAAGAAATATATAAAGACTGGAAACACTGCCATATAAATTCCTACGACAGGTGGCACATTTCCTAAAAGACCATAAGCCATTCCTAAAAATTAAGAAACCTTAATAACTACGTCTAAAATAAAAATAATAAATATAGAATCCTCAACTTTGGTATCATGTAAAACTCTTACTATAGGAAAAACATGGGAGCGGGGAAAATTACATACTAATGTAATGACAGCTAATGCGCAGCAATAAAGCCAAAAAGGTTATAATTGCATCGATTGGAACAAGGCAAGCGACATTCAATATGAACTGTGATTTAGTAATTGTCAGGAATAGATCAAGTTTAGTACTCTTTAACTCATAATAATGGAGATATACGTTACTGCCTTTTTGGCTTTGTTGCAGCGCATTAACTGTCAAGTGTTAAATATTACAATAGTATGTTACTTCCACCACTCCCCGCGTTTTCCATACGATTCGGACCAATAATAGCAGAGATACACGTTAATGCCTTTATATCAGCCGTTTTCGGCATTGGGATATTAGTGAAATGACGCACGATGAGCTTAAACTTATCGTCTACTAATTTATATCTATTATCATATCTCGCCATATTCTTCGCTGAACTTTACTATATCAAACAATGCGTACAGATATAAGGTAGATAAAGATAGGAAACGCTCATAAGAAGCCAAGGCTTAAGAACGACCAGCTTTAACGCAGTTAACATCTGACCCATTATGTGGCGCTTCCATCGATACCAACAAATAACGCAGCGGGAAATTTAAACACCTGATAATAAAGGTTGTATAAATATCGACTGCACTATAATGTTCTGGCAAACAAATTTAAACAATGTAATTACGCTAAATTATTTATTAAAAAGAATACTACACTTACAGTCTATAATCGATTAATTATTGTAAGTCTATTCATGACAAATATTTTTTAATTTTTCATCGTTATTTATAACAATAACATTTTTGTTCTTGTTTTCCAAACGAATGACCAACGATATGTTATTTAAGAATGTTGAGTGTAAATTCAATAATAGGAATTCAGATATTTTTTTTCCTATATCAAATCTGCATTCTAAAGTTTTGAAGCAATTTTCTTGTTCTAAAACAATAAATAAATACCTACTTTGTAAAAAAAGTTTGGCTACTATTTGTGTTACTTACATGACTAGATCTTACTTTGGTTAATTAAAAACCACCACATTGGGGTCGTTAAATTTATTCATGTAATATTACAAAATATAATTATTGTCCTCAACTTTCACACAAAAACAGCCACAACCATTTCGCTTAGTTCACCTAGAGGATAACACAATCATGAACTCAAAATTTAAAATTCAAATTCAGGATTCTACGATATACATACAACTAATTGAGATTAATATTTACAAACTGTCCACTGCTGTCCACGTCTACTGTCTATCTACAAACGACGTGTACCTTTAGTTAACATCTGAGACGCATAGATGACGCCATCGCTACTGTGATCGTTGCGTTTCCTATCTTTATGTCCCTAATCTCTGAATGCGTATTTAGATATTCTATTAGCAGTGTGTATGATTGCGAATTATAACGATATATCGAATTATATCATACTTTAGCCCTTACGCGGGTGATTAGTATCCCTCCGGTTAGAAATGAGATGAAAAAAGCCGCATGTTTTATGTTAAACAAAACAAACGGCAATATTGTAAATTTTTCGTTATAAGAAATAAGTTAAAATAAACTTTTTCTAATCTACCTTTATGTTTACTTTTTATTCCTCTATTAGAGCTTATAGTTCGTTGCAAATTATAAGAAATGGAATTCCCAAATCACACTATAGACAGGGTCGGCCTGAGCAATGTGTGTAATAAAAATGGACAAAAATGTTTTTTAACATTATTTATTACGTGACAAATTAATTATAAGAGAAGGAATATTCATCGTTACTGTAAATAGTGTTCCAGGATTAGCACTTGGGGCAAGTAATTTTAGACAATTTTACAAGTACCAAAATAATTTTTTAGCTATAAAATGAATTAAAATTATTTATACAAAAACTCTGACTTAAGGATTAGCGCTGTTGTCATTTTCACTAAAATCACTGTCACTACTTTCAGCTACGTTAATGATGAATCTTTGTTGTGGAGTCCTTATTAAATATTTATTCTCAATAGGACGCGTTATTTAACACAATAACACTGTTATTATGTGTTTTTGGAATTAAATCATATTCTAGTCATTTTTCAAATAAATCTCCATCAATATCTTGATGATAATCTAGACTACATTTTTTATATCCTTAGCCGATAATAATAGAACATCCTCAACCCAACCAGATGCATGTAAGATGCATATTCTTGTACCCCTGGCTGGAGGTACATCAGCTATGCATTGTTTACTACCATCAGACAAACTTTTTTTTGTAATTGTAGCGAACCAAGTTTCGTCCAAATAATACACTGTTCATCCTTCACTACGAAATTATCGATTTTTTTCAATATAATCTTGTCTCCATTTTACCAATCGTTTGTCCACCACTTTAAATCTAAAACCATGTGATCTTAAAAATCTCCACAAAGTAGTTTTATGTCAATTTCCAATTAACATTTTGTTTTTTAAAGTTTTCATTAGTTTGCTTAAATTTGGGAAGTTGTTTGCATCATACATGTCATATAATGTTTGTCTGATAGGTTCCAATAATTGCTTTGGTATACAACGAGAAAACCGGAATCGTTTCGCGAATACCGAGGTTCTGCTTAATTTTTTATAATTTTAGCTACTAATGAAGCAGAAATATTAGTTAAAAATATTGTCCGCTCCACAGCGGCAGATTGTGGTAACTCCAATTTAAGTTCTGCAAATAAATAAAATAGTATTTATGAACAGATCCTCCCAAAAAACTGTTTATAACATATGCATACAATTTAATAAGAAAATAGATGAGTGCGCTTTTTCTTTATCAAAGCCGACACATCCACATTTATTTCGGTAATAAAATCATCACTTTCTAACTCCATTATTTTAACAACACAAACTATATCGACAAACTATAAAACAAAAATAAATTAGGTTTGTTAACGATGGTCGATGGTCAGTTCAACCCTGCCCTTTCAGCTAATGAGAGAATTACTACAGTACCTCTATATAGACAAGAGCATTCAATTGTGACACTTATTCACTACTCACTTATTTAATACCTAAGGGTCACAATTGTTTATTAAAATTCGGACCGTTGTCAATAACTACAGTTATCAGCACGGGTAAAACATCTGGGGTTTTCCAAATCTTACAATTTACAACGAACTATACATTGAACTCTAAACGTAAGTTTGGGAGAACCTACAAAAATCAATTCATGAAGATATACTAGACGTAATTGAGACCAAGGTTTTCAATATTTAAAAAACTAGATTAGGACCTAGTATGTCAGGCCGTTTTTTCAGGTTACAGTAATAATGTTATCCAACAGATATGGATAGAGGAAATAGGAAAATGCTTTTTTCTCCGGTGTTTCAAAATAAGCATACCATGTAGATCGCCATGTTTGTAATTTAAGAGACTCAAGATGGTTTTCCACTAAACGGAGAGTTGCGTTTATGTTTTGTTTGTGTTTTCTGGAACTTGAAAAACAAAAACAAAATTGAAACGAACCAAAAACCCTTGTTTCCATCAAGCGGGCTACTTTTTGTTTCAGTTTTGTTTTTGTTTTTGGTCTTTTTCCACTAAAGTTTCAAGTAGAACTATAATTAAGTGCATCTGTCTAAATAACGGCATTTAATGCCTTCCAATTATTGATAATGGAAGAATTATACCCAATTAATAATTTAATTTATTTAATTTTAATAATAAAAAACGATACGCCCATGTGCGCGGTCCCTTTGAAGTCGGCGCTAGTCGGTTATAATGCCGTGTTGGATTGTGTCTAGAAAGACTATAGCTATGTTATTTACACACCGATAAAGAATAATGGTTTCCTGGAGTTTATTTTAAAGTTTGTAATAGGTTTATATGAGTTTATGTAAGTACTTGCTGACCATTTGATTTTTTCTTCTTTTATTATGTTTTGTAAAGTTAACATTATGTTATCATTTTACATGTATGTTGACTCTGTCCTTAAAAAAAAAAAATAAACTCTCTATTAAGAGCATGCCGAATACCTGAAAAATTTATAATTCCTTCTAATATATCATGTGCAAATTTAAAATCCAGTATTTAATTAAATTTGCAATTGGAACATCATTCTTTCTTGCTATGTTATAATGATTACTCTACAAATGAGACACAAGAACATAAGAATGATTGTTTTTATAAAACTCACGAAAACAAAAAGTCCGTTGTTGTCCCGTAAATCGCTTCATTGCAACTAAAACTTAACACTGTATATCACCATTTTCCAATTGTCTCCTTTCTCAGGAATATGCCTATTGCGCCAGCGGACGTATTGATAAACGAAAATATTTCTGAGACACCCTTTATAATACTTTTAGTTTAAATGTGTGATGTAATAATATTTTATTTCTAGAGCTAGCAACAATATGGAACAATAATAATCCTTCAACTGTACAATTTTCCCATTCATATTGAATACGATTACTTATATGCATCATGACATTTAGAATCTTAATGGCAATTGTATTCCTCAGGATCCCATCAACTAAAAAGTACTACAGTACCATTGGAATATAGTGTTGTTTACATTGTCAAAAAATATACAGTATATTAACCCGACGTATCAGGCAAAATAAAGATGAGACGCTTAGTTATGTTTGGGTGTGATAACGATAAAGATAGTAATTGATTTAACCACCCCTTTTTGATGATAAGCGTCGTATATTGCAGTCCGCAATTCTATTTCTCTCTATTCAATGACATTGCGTTTCCTGATTCCTCGAGTCAGGATGGAAAAGTTAATATATTGTATGTCAGCAAATCATTTTGTAGACAATCTAATTAAGTTGTTAGATATTTCAGAAAACATTGTTTTTATGTTGCAAGGATTCACTAAACCCAGTCGGCGGTAATCGCCAACGAATTACTTTGTCAAGTGATAACTAAAGACCGGACAATTTAATTTATTCTTATCAGCGAAGTAACGGTAAGAGCGGACCTTCGATTTGAATAATACATTCTGAATAAAACAAGTTATTTACTGAACTGGTCGACACAGTAGATAAGATATTGGATTTTTATCGCCCGGGCGTAACATTTGGGGCGGGCTTATTATTACATTTACATTGCAATAATTATTTTATTAAATTTTAGTTCAAATTTGGTTGGATATTATTATATAATTACAAATGATATTATTATTTATTTTTTTATTGTGTTGTGGGATAATGTTGTTGGCTTTTTCTGTTAATATATTATTGACTAATAAATATATCAACGAGGATACACCATCATTAGTTTTATGTTTAGAGTGTTCCAATATACACTCTTTATCCTAAAGTAGCAAATATACAATTATATACAATATATACAATACAAATTAATATCAATCTTCTTCATTTGAAAAATATGTTTGTATGACTGCATATTTTTCTAAATTGTCTTCAGTGAAATTACTTCTTTTAGAAGTCAATAAATCTTTAAACCTAGAAAACGATCGTTCTACGTCACAACTCGTTACAGGAGCAAATGAAAAATGTGGAACAAAATCACAATATTTTAAAGCAGTTTCATAATCGTTAAAATTGTTCAGGGAGATTTGTTTCAGAGTCTGTAAATTTGGATTTCTTTTAATAACACAATCTATTTTATGGTTAAATTTATCTTGTAAGGGCCACTTTACGTTTTTTAAGTGTAACAATGTCGATTCAAATTTTTCCATAGCAACCGATAATTGTAAGTTACGGGTTTCAAGGAATTTTATAGTTTCTGGGAGACACGAAAAATAAGTCGCAAGAAAATTTAACTCCGACTGCAAAGTTGTTTTTGTTATTAAACCTTTACACTGAGTGATAGAGAGAGCGTCCTCTGATAAGTTGGAAATAAATACTTTTAGTCTGTCGAAATGCTCCGAAAAAAAGAACACAGCCTGTAACCAAGTTCCCCATCGTGTAATAACTGGTTGTGGAGGTAGGGGGATATTCGGACATATTTCTTTATATAAAGAAACTCGGGACGGTGCTTTTAACAAAATTTTTTTAAAACAGCTAATCAACGAATTAATGTCTGGAAAGCTGTCACGGATAAACTCACAAACTCGGTGTAACGCGTGAGCAAGGCAAGTTACATGCAGCATGTTTGGAAAATGTTCTTGTAATAGTTTCCCTGTTTTCAACATTACACTTGCCGCGTCTGAAATAAACAATAAAACTTTTGAAACGTCATTATCAATTACATTGTTCAATCCACGTTTCACTATTTCATAAATCATTTCAGCGTTCACAGTTTCACGAAACACACTAGAAACTAAATACTGTTGTGAAGTATTTTCAGCACTTAATAATCCTACAACAACATTAACAACACATCTACCCTTTATGTCAGTCGTTTCATCTGCACTAACCCAAATATATTTGCTGGAAATTTTCGTTTTTATTGCCGTCATTGCTTTATCGTACTGATTTTGAATATAATGTTTTCTAATTGTGGATTCATCCGGTATTTTACGTTTAGTATATTTACAAAGAAAATTTTTGAAAATTGTATTATTTAATTTTGTTAATGGAATATTTGCAGAAACAAATGCGTTGCATAAATCTTCATAAAAGATTTTGTCTGGACATCCCTCTAAAGATTGCATGTGTTTTTGTGTTTTCACATGTTGTGTCATACTTGACTTTCCATTAAAAACTAACACCTGATCACAATTGCGGCAGTATAATTTGTTGTCATTAAAACGACGAAAACAATCAAAGTCCGATAATAAATTTTCCATATTTACGTTTCCAGTTTCTATCACTTTTCCCTTTGAACTAAACAAATATACTCATTGGAAAAATCTAGTGATATTTTTACAAGACACTTTCTTCTCAAATCTCCTGTTTATCGACTCTTTGTTATCTTTTTACATTTTTTCAACCAACAGATACCTATATAGAGTGAGCAATTGAATTAATACATACATTACAGAAATTTAACAGACATTTATTTTATTGTCTCATCGTGTATAAGTACCATAATATCCACAGGAAATAAAAACATAAATGTTTTGTTACAAAAAATCGGTATGTACGGTATCGATAAAAGCCAAAATATTCATAAATATAATATAAGGATTGACTTTATTTGAATAAAAATATCACCGGCAACTAACCGACAATGGATCGAGAAAGTATAAGACAACATATGATGGGCCTATTTGACATTCATTTTAGGCCCTCTCTACAGCGTCTTAGTCCAAACGCTCGTAGAGTCCTAATATTTGGCCCCGATGCAATTTCTCCAACAATTAATCGGGACCAGCTAAGGCTAGAAATTTCCAATTTTCTGGAGGAAATAACAAATTCGGGGGAGGCAGCTGGGGTCCTCGATCCTCATTTTAGGCAGGAGAGTAGTGTACCACGCCAAAATATTGAGGAATAGATATTTTGTAATTATATAAGAGATAATATTAAAAAAAATATCATACAGAATATCGTTTACATTACTACACCTTAAACTCGCTTATGAAAAGTTTAACATCTTCATCAAAAAAGTTATTTTTTTTTAAGGAAAATTTCTCAGGCCACAAATTAAAGGATCTGAGGTTACTAAAAACTTTTGTAAAATATCCTACATATCCTCGGCGTTGGTGAGAAGAAAACATTAAATTTGTTTAATGAAAATGATTCAAAAGACAAAGAATATAGGTACACGATAAAAAAAAATCTCACTTTTTTGTATTAGTTTTAATGTCTATGTATATATCAGTACACTTTTTTTTATCTTGTTTTAATAAAAAAAAGAGGTTTGTCCTGATAGTATTAGAATCTGCCGCACTGTCTGCCGTCTTAAATAGCGAACCCAGAATGAGACGCCTATGTGATTAAAACCAATTATTTGAACGCGATTAAAATGTCCGGTCTTTAGTGATAACGCAGCTACGGTCAGGTCACCGTCTGGTCTAGTGAGCAAAGATCTTTAATATTATGTAGAATTGATTGTTTATGATTATCATAATGATAATGATTATCGTTAGTTACTGTAAACAGTAAATTAAGAATGTTAATGTTAAATCTACATCACTGAATATTATCAAGTTAACTAATAAAAGGAACAAAGTCGAATGTGAAATAATCTTTTAAAATACGTAACTTTTGATACTTACTCATCTTGTTTACAAATAATAAATAGATTTAAACAACCGTATACTTTTTTAATTAAGCAATATTTGATTAAATAAATCGTAGACTGTTTAAAAATGAGATTATAATATAAATATGTATCTAAGGGACATCTACCTTGCGGGATATGCATAATGGCGACTGTAAATCCAGCTGCGAGGTCAGCTAAAAAATCCGTCTTCCATTCATATTTAGGTAACCAGCCAAGAGCTGGAACTGTGCTCGTTATCAGTTTTTTACATGTTATTTTTTCACACCATTGATCTGAAACAACAATAAAATAATCTAAGTAATTATTTAAAGGAATTTTAAGCGTTTGTGTACTTTTTTAAGTATAACATAATAAGATTTTACGACTCATTGCACTTTTTGTTTGATGATATTAATATATGACGACTTTATTTTACATTCGCAATATGGATCATTTTTTAATCAATACGCATGTTTAAAAAGTTTGGAACATGTTTAGAACACCTTATAGAACAAGACTCATAATATGTTCAATAATAACAGAGACAATCCAGCAAAACGTGTAACTCAAAGTATTTTTTTTTTGTTCGGTAAAAGTTGTTTGGGCGATTGTATTGTATTATCCGAGTTGCGCAGTGTATAAACTGGAACATTGAATTTAAAAATGCCGACGCAAAGTGAGCGAACTGATTCTTTAGCTCTAAACTGTGGCAAAGGCATCAAAATGGCCGCGCCCTATGTTGGGCGTGTCGGACCTCTCTCTTTTACCGTAGAGTATGTGGGCCACTCCAAATGCACTTCACATTGAGCAATCTATATAACTATACAGATCATTAATCCTGTCAAAGTTGACAGGTCGTTGGATTGCCAAATTATTATTAAAAACTAGAAGCTAAAGTTTTAAAGTATTAGGCATTATTATACAAAAATACTTACAAGATTTCTTCGTTTTTTCATAGTTAAGATCTTGCCTCAATTGATTGTGTTCATATAGACGTCGCTCTATTTTTATTGATGGTAAAGTTTCTGCAATCATCTTCATAAGTTTCTTTCTCTATGAGTCCAATATCTATAAAACAGTAATAAATAAATAATATAACTTAGGATAATATTTTGGTGGGGGTACACGGAGTATTTATTCATGGTAATTTTGGATATTGTTGAATTTAGGGTAATTCCCAATTAAAGATTTCATGAAATCGCGAAATTTTCAAGATGACAGTACAATAGCAATTTATGTAACCAATCTACTTTGTATAACGAGTGAATATTTGCGAAACAAGCGGAGCGAGATTTAGGAAAATGAACGAGTAAACTGAAAAATTCATTATATTCTTAGAGATATTTTTTTTTAATGTTGACTATGTGTAACGTTTAACACTGGTTATCAATATTAGCTATAAATAGTTATTGACGTTATCCAAAAAAATGTGTAATTCATTATTGTTTTGTCTAGCTAAATGTTTCAAAACTATTTCTATACTAAGAAACTTAAATATTGCTCCATATCCCCCTAATTCACGTATTCAACTTTTCAGATCAAAATATTTATATAAACATATCAAACACATAAATATAAATAAGGATAATGATTATTTGATTGCACTGATCATTAAGTCTGGCAGAATTGTTTTCGTTTGAGTCTAGATTTGCAACAGGTATTTTTAATTATTATTTTATTAAGGTGTATATTAGTCTACAAAAGATGTTTCGCTAACGCGAGATGGAGTCACCATAGTACAAATATTATCTAAAAGCGGTAATCAATAGCTTTGTTCGTGGTAACAATCCTGTACTGATTCCGAACACTAGGGTAAAAATTACACTCCATACTAGGTTTGTTCGGGTTCTTCAAAAATACATTGAAAATTATCAGAGGACTAGTTGACCAGTGGACAGTTTAATAGTTGTATGCGACGAATACTTTTGAATTGAACTGTTCCACTGATTCTTGGATACGCAGAAGACTTCTGTTTTATTATAGGCGGTTATCATATATTGTATTATCCGAGTTGCACAGTGTATAAACTGAAACATTGAGATCAAAAGTGCCGACGCAGAGTGAGCGATCTGATTCTTTAGCTGTAAACTGTGTCACAGGGTTCAAAATGGCCGCGCCCTATGTTGGGCGTGTCGGACCTCTCTCTTGCCTCGTATAGTAATCAAAGGTGGTCAGAACGGTCGAGAAATTGAGTTTGACTTGGTTAGTCAAAACTGTCTAGTGAATGGGCAAATGTCAATTATGTTTTTATTTCATTTAAACATACAAGAAATTAATAGTTATGGATAAACTGTTGTTGAAAACCAATTTAATACATGAAACGGGAAAAACCAAATATTATGTAATATTATTAAGGGATTAGTCACCAGTTACTCTTAAATAGGCAGAAAAGCTACACTAACAAGAATCTTTCCTATTCAAGATGCTAATGCTTGAACTTACAGTTTCAAAAGAATTTATCAATGTAATTTCATCATCAGTTTGAAAAGCGAATTGACAAGTAGCCATAATAAGTTTATTTCTGTTTCTGCTGTTCACATTATTTTTTTTAATGCCTTCTAATTGAGTTTACCGCATTCTTTAGAACTGTCAATGTGTTGAGGGACGAGGGACTCACAAAACACAGGAGGGACTGCCTGGTCTTGTAATTTTCGGCTAGCTAATCATAAATTTTACAAATTAGGACTAGACAGTTTCGACTACATTGCCTAGCGAGCGGTCTGACCATACTAGTCAAGTTAACCGTTGACTTAACGCAGCCACAACTACGTATTGCTAATTAGAGTTGATACATGAAACAAAAGAGGGCAACACTTTATATAAATATTACAGAGGCCGAACAATGTACGTTGTTGCCAAATATATACCAAGTTTAACGTAAGTATGATTAAGCGGCGGAGAGATAAAATCACTTAGTTTAGATTTTCGTTGGAATTTCAATGCTCTTTTTTTGTAAATTTTTCATTTTGATTAAAGGCTTTTTATATTTTTCTTCATTCAGTAAGTTGATGTTTGTTTTTAAAGCTATCTTCTTAACATTAACTTTTTTATTTTTTCCTTTAAAGAGTTTTCTAATTCTTCCTTATAAGGGGTGCTCGTAAGAATGGCAGCTTTTCCTTTTTCTATTTGTAGTTTTTTGAATATCAAGCTTACTACCTTTGGGATAAGGAGCAATTTGTTCATGACTTATCAAAGTTATTCCTTTGCTCGTGGATGGCATATCATGTAAAGCACTTCTTTTGGCAACCTCGGAACATTTCTTTGGAAGGGTCATTTTCGGGTGTAGCTTCTCTATTAGTTCCAATTTCGCGTGTACCTTCCGAATTAGCGTTATGTTCGGGTGGATCATCTTCGGAATCGGAAGAAGATGGTACGACATCATCCTGTTTTTGTGGTTTGTCTGTTGGAAGTGTTGCAATAAAGATATCCTCGGTAAATACAGTGCGGTTTACTGGGTACAGTCCAGTTTTTTCAAATCCATTAATAGCATTTATCGGAGTAGAAGCACGAAGATATGTTTTGCCAAATAAAGAAGGAACTTCGCTTACAGTGATGCATCGCCCTGGGTGATTTCTAAGCCAAATCTCCATTTCCGATTTCTAGGACTCTTTTTTTGTAAGAAAGGGGGTAATATCTAGCGATCTAGCATTTAATGTTAAAAATCATAAGTTTAATTATATAATATATTTTACATAAACGCCTGGATTTAAAATTTGAAATCAGGATCCAAAGTTGTCTTGTTACGCCACTGTGAAATACTAAATGTTTTATATCTTCGAGAAGTTTATTAAATAAACTAAATTTTGCGAAATGTTTAACAGGTATCTCCAGAGTTTGTATCGCTTCTTAGCTAATAAACAAAGTAGCTACACTTAAGTTATTACAATTAAGTTACTTACATATTCACATAAATTCAACACATCACTTCCGCGTATAACTCAGGAACGCATGTTTTTCTATACAACACATTAAACTTTCACATGAACACTGTTTAATATTAAAATTTATATCTCACTTTGAACATTTCAATTATCTCAGTGTTTCAATATTTAATTTTGATTTTAATTTATGATTCTTCTATCATCTTTGCATTGGAAACAGTAGATACCACTAATTTTGATTATCTAATTCCATTCCAAAATAACGCAATCAGTTTGATAAACTAGTTGTTTGCTTTGCCTCTTAATATTCATGTAATACCACAATTAGAATATTCAAATGAGAATACATTGAAAAAGAAACAATCGGCAGTAGCAGAACAATAATTTGAAGGGTTAACTTTACTATAAATAGTTGACTGATTTATTTTAATTGCACTACATTGAAGCATATGTTGCCAATTCTCGTTTAACTATATAAATCTACTAATTCATTCATAACAATGTCGTTTGCTAATTGATTATGCTTTAAATAATTTAGTAAATATAGTTCACTCTATATTTTGATAAGTAGAGGAAACAATTCGCGATTACATTTTTTTATCCAGTGTTGTTTATAGTTATTAATGTTTTTCTGTTTCGTTTCGTTTATATATATTTTTTTATTGTTCTGTGTTTAGTTATCAAGTGCTTTAAGACTAAAAAACTGTTGTTGTAAATATTTATGTTTTGATATGCTCTGGTAATTAACTAGGGGTAATTGACTACTAAACAATTAATAAATAATAATATATAATGTTTATTTACATAATTAAATTTACATTAAAAAAAGTTTTAAAATACAATGTGTCTCAATAAATATGTAACGACCACATAAACCAGCTTGTGCCGTGGCATGGATATTTTTTTTTATAGAATATTAACGTCCTTACAGATATCTTACACTCCCAATGAAAGCGCTGTATGTGAAAGGTAAGACCCTAATTTTGTTTGGCTAATTTTTTTTTTGTCATCGGCATCAACTGCTGCGGTTATTATCCTCGTGTTCTGTGTAGGCTTTGTTACTGTTTCCCAGCGCCACTTTAGGAACAGCACTGTTAGTTAATACCCAACAGTGAATGGTCGAGTGGGGAATCCTACCAAGCCATCAGAATTAATTTAAAATAATTAAATTAAATGAAAAAATCCCACCATTATTTGTTATTGTGTATATTATTCCTTGATTGTGAATGAATCAATACCCGAACCACCTAAGTTGGACCTTTATCTACAATTAAAAAAAAAATAGTATGATATACGGTATAATTACGGAAATAGTTACAATTAAATTTTGGTCTGCAGACGCCATTCTAATGCACAAGGATACTCTGTCCTTAAAACAAATTGCTTTCTTTGGGAGCGATAGGAACGGAAGAGATTAATTAATGTTCCTCTAAACCCTATATTTTTAAAAGTATTTAACAATTTTTCATGGCTGACCATGTCGAATGCCTTCGCTAAGTCGATGAAGACACAACGACGCATTTCTGCTGTCTACCGATTCTCATATTATTTAGTTAAAGTAGTTATTGCATTTTGTGGTGATACATCTTCCTTAAATCCAAATTGTTGCTAATTTATATTTGTATTTTTATTTTTCTTTTTGATTGTAAATGATTTGAGTTTTGTATTGCCACAAATATTCACTCGTTACATAAAACAAGTCATTTCGTAACTGGTTATATAAATATCCAGGTACTAGGCAATTAATAATTTCTTTATTTACTTTAAATCACTTTATGAATGTAATATTGATTTGCCTACCTTAATATTGAAAACAAATTTAAGCGTTTTAATTAAACCACTGTTTAATCATGGAATTATTAATTTGAACCACATTTCAAAAATCACGTATGTTTTTGTTCATGTGTCTTCTCGTATTCGTCGTTTGAAACCAAAACAAATAAGCGTAACTTTACCGTTCTTTATCTTTAACCGCTTACCGCTGTACTAAATGAACTGCAACGAAGAGAAGACGGATTACGTAAAGTAATACCGATCTGGGCTCTACCTAAACCATTCTAGAGATCACACAGCATACGGTTTATTCGCCTCAAATTACACAGCAGATTTATTAACGAATATTACAGTGCAGTATCATGTGAAAAAACTATACAAAGAAATGTCTAAAGTGTTTGACGGTGTTTGCTGCCATGAATTGCTTTTAACAGAAACTGGTATTTCGGACAATTATCTCAAATAGTTTCATTCGTATCTAATCATATCGGTCATAGCGTGTTACTGTGTATAAGTTTCAGTGACGTTCAACAAGGAATCATCTTAATTTTATTATTTTTAAATGATGCAACAACTTGTTATTTAAACACTAACTGTCTGTAATTTGCAGACGTTCTAAAGTTTTTTAGTACAAATACCACTGACCTCGTTCGTATCACTAAATGATGCAAACTAAATTATTTGTCTCTTAATCAGTAGTAACTCATGGGCTAGTTTAAGGAGGGGCTACTTTAGATAAATAAAATTTATCAAAACTTACCCCAGCACTTTGATATTTTGTTTTTCACCCTCCCAAAGTCTTCTACCACTTTTTTTATCAAAATTGTTTTATTAAATTTAATAAATTTGTTAAAACGCTCGCCCGCCATTTTTGGCTCAATTGAGCCGATCTAAAATGTCAAAAACAGACACAAATAAAAAATAAACAAAATAAATAAAAACAGACAAATAAAAATAAACAAAAATAAACAAAAATAAACAAAAATAAACAAAAATAAACAAAAATAAACAAAAATAAACAAAAATAAACAAAAATAAACAAAAATAAACAAAAATAAACAAAAATAAACAAAAATAAACAAAAATAAACAAAAATAAACAAAAATAAACAAAAAAATAAACAAACAAAATAATCAAATTAAACATAATATACAGAAATATACAAAAATTTACAACAATATACAAAAATAAACAAAAGCTTTATTGTTTCGCAACATTTAAACAAGTCAGCAAATAAGAAATTCCTTTGTTATCTGCCACTACTGTCAGTCCTAAGCCTGTATAAAGTGTGAAGAGAAGTTATCAAGGCCAATACCACAAGATGTGAGATTTTTTGAGAAAATTTTGATGTTTCCCAATCAACTTAATACAATAACTAAACTAAATACAATATAATATAGGACTAGATGCGCCCGGCTAATTTACACCTACCGCAATTTTTGGCTCACTTGCGCCGATCTAAAGTGTCAAAAACAAAAAATAATTAAAAATGAACAAAAATAAACAAAATAAATAAAAATAAAAAATAACATTAATAATAAACAAAAATAAACAAAATAAACAAAATAAACAAAATAAACAAAATAAACAAAATAAACAAAATAAACAAAATAAACAAAATAAACAAAATAAACAAAATAAACAAAATAAACAAAATAAACAAAATAAACAAAATAAACAAAATAAACAAAATAAACAAAATAAACAAAATAAACAAAATAAACAAAATAAACAAAATAAACAAAATAAACAAAATAAACAAAATAAACAAAATAAACAAAATAAACAAAATAAACAAAATAAACAAAATAAACAAAATAAACAAAATAAACAAAATAAACAAAATAAACAAAATAAACAAAATAAACAAAATAAACAAAATAAACAAAATAAACAAAATAAACAAAATAAACAAAATAAACAAAATAAACAAAATAAACAAAATAAACAAAATAAACAAAATAAACAAAATAAACAAAATAAACAAAATAAACAAAATAAACAAAATAAACAAAATAAACAAAATAAACAAAATAAACAAAATAAACAAAATAAACAAAATAAACAAAATAAACAAAATAAACAAAATAAACAAAATAAACAAAATAAACTAAGCCCTAAGCCTGTATAAAGTGTGAAGAAAAGTTATCAATGCCAAGGGGTGAGAATTTTTTGAGACCATTTTGATGTTTTTTTGGTAATTATGCATCTAAATTTTACGAAACAAATTCTCTTTAAAATACCACGAGACAAAAAGCTGATTCCTGACATGTTTTTTATTTTTGTATATTTTTGCTAATAACAATTTCTTTTTTAGAGCATTTTTTTAAATTAAGTCTCATGGACTATAAGAATTTTATTCTCTCCATTGATTTTTATATAAAAGATATAAACTAATATTCTTATAAGAATAATAGTTTTTTATTTTCTATTGGTCGCAGATTAACATATTTTAATAAAGCTTTTGTTCATAACAATAAACAATACTACAAAATTTAATAGTTGGAGATTCTTTAATAATACTACAATTTATACAGCAATCGCCATCTATATTTAAGCAGTATTAGTTTTCTATAATTTACAAACCGACAATACAGATTTCTAACCTATTTATTGTATCGTAGAGAATGATGTAGACGCCATTTTCAGTCCACATAATTTTTTATACAGTTTTTTACATCGAAATAGATGTCGATTTCGACTCTTTTTGGCTTAAAACAATTCTTCGCCCTAAAATTATAATCGAAACCTCACTTTCCTGACATAATTACTTAATTTAAACTTGCCGGTGTCGGCGAATGCAATGTGGTCCATCATGGTGAGTTTTAAAATCTAAATACCTATTAAATGCTGAAATTAGGAAACCCGCAGTTGATTTATTACGAAAATAAAAAGGGCCATAAAATTACCTACCTATAGAAGCAAATGCAAATACCAAAAAATGAAGATATCCAACGTAAATGTAATACACAAAAAATTAGGTACCTATATCTATGGAGACATCTTGTGAATCGATTTAAAAACTTACACTCAAACACTCTTCAGGTTTATCATTTCTCAGGAAAATGTTGAGGCAACTACCTATATTCCGTTCGCGGAAGAAGTTTTGAATTAATTCAGGAACTATCGGTACACATGCGCACTTTGACATCTCAGTCGCGACGAAAACAATAAAAGAAACTGGAATAAAACGAAACCTTCAGTGTTCGCGGTAGACATTAATTTCAGGACTTATTCTGAACGTATTCAATCCGCACCACTACCAGGATTTTAGCACGGGTCATATAGACAGACGCAGACGCATTACAATAAGTATATATTATTTTTTTGGTAAGTTTAAAAATAAATCGTATAACAAAACGTGTCAATGTTGCCACGTTCTATTTTTTCTTCAGATTTTTGAAAAATATTAGATATATTTTTTTAAGAATGTAAGACGAAAGGAAAATGGTGCGCACTCCATTCCGTTGACACTAAAGAAATTCAAAACTAAAATAAAGAAGAACCACAATACATTTTTTTATGTTCTCGACTTTTCTGAGTTGTAACTTTAGGAAAAATTCATATTTCTAACTTTATTATTCAATGGACATTTGTATGGTCCTTTGGTAAAATGCTGGACACACATACTTTGATTTTCTTTTACGCTGGACATCATTTGGACAGCCGATATGTCATACAATGGATTGACTTGTACTGCTTGGGAAGACGTCTTAATGTGAGATTTTAAAAACGTTCTTAAGATGTCTTAAAGACGTCTGGCCAGATCCATATATTAATGTAAGAGCTCTCTACTTTATCGGATTATTTCTCGATATGTTACTGTATTTTCGTTTAGTATCGGGCCACCATGTTGTTCCAGCCAGGTTAAGTATAGTTAAAACCGGTCAGTAGTGATCCATAACCGCCTATGGCGGAACTAGAAAGGGTTGCCACAGACACCCCTTATTCACTAACCCTGAGGATCTAAAATTCGTCATACTATTATCCAGAAGGAATAAAGATCACATCGATAAACTTACCGAAGCCACAGTATTGAGTGTCAGCAAGAGGCCACCAGAGCAGTCTTTGAAGTCGAAGCCACGGTCGAAACCATCCTTACAATCATATGAGTACTCCTAATTCAAAGCGTACTTCAAGTACATCCAGAACAAGCTCCAGAGAGAACTCCAAGTTTTTCAAAAAAAAAAAAAAAAAGTTTGGAGAAAAATCAAACCGGCAAAGGATCAAGTAAAAATCCACTAAATTGACGAATTCCCAACACTCCATGACTCGAAATTTGCTTCTTTCGAAACTATGGAGAAAAGTAAAACAGTAAAAACAGTGTTCCACAAACTTTTTTAGACAAAAGCAGCTACGGATCAGTTGAAGACCATCGCCAAGGAGCTCGCATGACTCCACGGATGATGGATTAAAATGTGATTACCAGTAGTGCGAAATCTTATCATCAAAACTGCCGAAAGTGCGGAGAAAATCCTCAACGAAATAATGTGAAAAAGTATGGAGAAAGATCAAAAAACTAAGGTCAAAAAACTAAGGTGAAAAAACTCGCCGAAGAGAACATTAGAGATGACCACAATAATCCTGGACACTACTGTTGTGAAAGGCAGAACTAACAATTACAATTTCCTCAAATAACGGATTCAAATATGATCACCGGTAGTGCGGAATCTTATCATCAAAAGTACCGAATGTGCGAAGAAAATCCTCAACGAAATAGTGTAAAAAAGTATGGAGAAAGACCAAAAAACCATGGAGAATGTGAACTATTTAGAACTCGCGTCGGGTATCGATGTACAAAACTTTGAATCGGCGTATAAAACACTACCGCTGCCGACATCAGTTATCACAAAAGTTCTAAACTTCGGTACGAGCCTACAAATTCCAATGTCTACTGAAGCGGAGCAAAATAAATCATACCACCATAAAAAGCCAAAAGTGACAGGTACCTACACGTTTTCACTGGCCAGAAGCCGACGGAGTTCACAGGTGCAGAATCGAAGGTGACGAAAACTACCCCGAAACTAAGCCTAAGAGATAAAGAATGTTAGAGAGGCCCACAATATTTCAGGACACTACTGTTGTAGAAAACATGGACGTAAACGCAGGGAAGGTGTGTTTATCACTCCAAGAAAGTGTTCTACAAACTTTGTTAGTATGCTAAAAGAGAAGGCAGCGAGATATATCAAAGTTCAAAACAAATTCCAGGTACTGACGGACACAGATTGGGAAGAGGAAGAACCAAACATACAAAAACCACCCGCAGCAGACAGAATACAAAAAGCAAAGTGGCAACGAGAAATAATAAGATCAGCACAACAGAAACAGCCAAAAATGTAAATAGAAAGTCCTCTATGTCGGCAATTGTGAAAGACAAATAAAGAATTCAAATGTAATCACCAGTAGTGTCTTATCATCAAAAGTGCCGAAACTGCGAAGAAAATTCTCAACGAAATAGTATAAAAAAGTATGGAGAAAGACCAAAAAACTATGGAGAATGTGAACTATTCGAAACTCGCATCGGATATCGATGTACAAAACTTTGAATCGGCGTATAAAACACCACGAAAGTTCTAAACTTAGGTACGGGCCTACAATGTCTAGTAAGACGAGCAAAATAAAACAAACCGCGATAAAAAGCTAAAAATGACTTAAGTGTGCGTTTTCACTGGACAGAAGCCGACGGAGTCCACAGGTGCAGTACCGAAGATGTCGAAAACTACTTCGGAACCGAACCCTATGCGAAACAGAACGTTAGAGAGGCCCACAATGATCCAGGACACTACTGTTGTACAAAACATGGACGTAAATGTAGGAGAAGATGCGTTTATCACCCCAAGAAAGGTTTCTACAAGACAACGAGATCTAAGTTTAAAACAAATACCAGATACTGACGGACACAGACTCGGAAGAGGAAAAGCCAAACATACAAAAACCACTCCAGCAGCCAGAATACAAAGTGGCAATAGAAAGTCCTCTATGCCACCAATTGTGAATGGCAGAACTAACAATCACAACTCCCTCAAAAACGATCTCCAGGGCATAGTTACAATGCACGTAGTTTTCTATTTACACAAGAGAGTGTGCTACAGCAGTTCGTTGGACAAAAACCGCCCTCAGCAGCCAGAATAACAAAAACCAAAGTGGCAACGAGAAATAATAAGGTCAGGACAACAGAAACCACCAAAAAATGTAAATAGAAAGTCCTCTATGCCGCCAATTGTGAAAGGCAGAACTAACAATCACAACTTCCTCAAAAACGATCTCCAGAACATAGTTAAAATGCCCTCAATTTTCTATTTACACAAGAGAGTGTGCTACAGGAGTTCGTTGGACAAAAACCACCCTCAGCAACCAGAATACCAAAAGCCAAAATGGCAACGAGAAATAATAAGGTCTTCACAACAGAAACCGCAAAAAATGTAAATAGAAAGTCCTCTATGCCGCCAATTGTGAAAGGCAGCACTAACTCCCTCAAAAACAATTTCCAAAGCATAGTTAAAATGTCCATAGTTTTCTATTTACCCAAGAGAGTGCGCTACAAGAGTTCGTTGGATTTTTATATCTTACAGAGATATCTAGCAAAAAAACCACACATTCAATTTTCAATATTCAGAGAGGTATTTTAAAACGCAGTCTCTCCATTTGCATGTTTTGCGTGCTTGTAAACAGGAGCCTTAAGTTATACTAGAATTCAACCAATTTGAAAACTCTAGTGGGAGTTTTAGAAATTGTAACCTATCATAAAAAACTGATAACCGATCTAACCATCAACAATGGAATTGAACTCCAGAAAAAGAGAAGGCATTTCAAGACATAAAGAACCTACTCATGTGTTCATCATCTCAGATATGAATTCCCAATTTTTATTTTATGCACTGATGCATCGATAAATCTTTTGTGGGAGTTCTTATATCTACATAATAATATGCATAGTAAGTTATATGTGCAGGATTATAAAAATATATGAAATAAATTGAAACGATAGCAGGGAAAATAGATTTAACTAGAGACCAAATAAACCTCACTACGAAAGAAAGGTTAAAACGTTTACAAAATGATTTTTTAAAATTATTTCCAAAGCTGTAAGGACATCGAATAAATAATGGGACAATGTTCAAAAGTGCAACTAACATTCGAAGGTCTCAAATTAAAATAACATTAAAACTGAAAAGTAAATCTAAAAAATTTAATTTTTAAATGACAATAGAAAATTACATTTATTTTCATTATTTTGTGAAGTGACATAAAATTTACATTTTAGAAAAATTCCTAATATCTAAGTCTAGTATTGATAGATACCTATTAAAGCAATACTATTTTGTCATTTTTTGTTAAAAACATTAATTCAAAATTATACAATAAATCAGTTATAAAAAGTAAAGAAAAAATTTTTTGTTGTGGCGATAAGTCACCACAGTTGCAAAAAAACAGTGATTCGAGCAAGAGTCGTTATCGTTAATAAATCAATTTAAATTATATAATATATTCCATCGTTAGTTCGTCTTCCTTTAATCTATAAATTATGAATTCTAATATCACAGCCAACATCTGGTACGATTATTAATATTCCCGAGTTGATTTCACCGACTAAAGATGCAGTATGAAGCTATTTGTTATCTCCAGAAAGGGCACGTTTGAATAAGTCTTAGATGGTGTCATAAAGGCAGATGTTGACACCAAATTAAGCCTGCCAGTTTGTTGATTCGCACCGAAGCTTCGCATCAATTAAGTTTATTATGTATCGTATCATTGAAATGATTATACTATTTAGTTAGGAAGGCATTACTAATTTAGAGATAATAATTTTTCAGATCGTTGTCTTTAATGTTAATGTTAATTGGAGTTGTCAAATTTAAATGTTTTGGATTGGTACTGTAGCCATCTTCACAGAATGACATTTTAATCTTGTAATTGAACGTTTATGTCAACCCCCGAGAAGGAGTGAAAGAAAAATATTTTTTTTACTGATATATATGTTACATTTTTCGAAAAAGAAAATTTGTAAGTGTAAAGTTGATTTAGGTTCAGTCAGTGGCGTAGCCAGCCATTTTTCATGGCAGGAGTTTTTGAGAACAATGAGGGCGAACAGCGCCAATACTATAGTGGAAATGGTGACGCGATGACCCTCCCTGAAGGGTTTCTGGCCCCAAAACCCCCCGTGGCTACTCCAATGGTTTCAGTCTAACCAAAAAATGCCGTAATAAATTGAATATATAAAAATGTTATCTAGCGAAAACCCAACATTGATATATTAAATACTTTGTAAGTTATAAGCCTTTAAAAAATAAGGATTA